AGAAAATGGACTAAAAGGGCATTTCATTTAAGAAGTAGTGTGCATGAAATTTATGTTCTTGGCACTGCTTAGATTTCTTTAATGGCGTTAGTTTTCTGGAGTTATCATTAATATTCGATGATATCTGTTTTTTGGACGACTTGGTAAATAATTGCACGAAGAACAATCCTAATAATAAACAAAAAGTTTAAGTATAGTAATTTACTTTTTTGTTGCATAATTTGCATTGTCTATTAGAATGCATTTTTTAGTCATTTAATGTGGTCACTTTCAAATTAAAGGATCGGAAGGCATTTGCTGATGGGGATGTGTTGGTTTGCTAAATGCGTGGCTTTGTTATAAATTATTGTTTTGTATGGCTTGCTATTATTATTTAATGCAGAATGCTACAAATAAGCCTCATATGATTAGGGGAAATAAAAATAATTGAAGAATATAGCAATGTAACCATAGTTCCCTCTCATGCTTTTTCATAGAAATTTATGCATAGAAAATGTTGCTCCCTAGCATCTGTTTATGCATTTGATGTTTACAAGATGTTGGCACCTTTAGAGTATGCTGGCTACTTTCTTTTATGATACATTCCTAGTATTGAAGGCCACAGAAATGTAAAAAAAATCGCTTGAATTTACTGTTATGGTTTTTTTTGGTCACTATTTAAATAAGGAAAAATATTGCCTTAGTTATTTAAACATACGTTTTTCTTTGTTCAGTGTAGCAGTTGCTGTTAATGTCACTTTGACTAGTCTGAAATCTGGTGGTATGTTGCAATAGTATTGAAAGTTGGGCTAGTTGGTAAGGCACCATGTTTGGGTACAGCGTGAGAACAACAAAGATGGAAGAGTACAGAAGGGACACAGACGAGTGCTCGTCTGCATCTTCATTATTTTCACGCTGTACCCAAATACGGTGGCATGTGATGCATCAACTAGTTGTGCAGGTTTCACACTTGCCAGGGGTGGGGGAGGAAAACTGGACTAATGGCGAATTCCGTTGAGAGAACAGGGTAGGGGCACTGTGCAATGAGGAGTAGGGGGCAGAGCACTAAGAGCAGGGCCTCGATCTATCGCTGGAATGTGGAACGCTTCTGGGGAGCAGGTGAGAAAGTGACGAGTCGGGGAGAAATATATCATGTGACCAAAACATTTGAATCCCTGATATTCTCTTCAGGGCAGCAGCAAAATACGTGTGAAATTAGTCAGTTACATGCTCACCATTATTCCATTCCACAGTTACACAGTACGTTTGTGCAGTGACGCATTCACCAAACATTGCTGCGTACTCTTCATAGCCATCATTGTTGCTACCATCAAACTACACAGGCATACTACATTTGCCACCATTCTGATCGGCTGAAAAAAAAAAACAGTTAAAACAAATACAGAGCATGTGACGATTAAAGGTCGCGTGGCTGGTCATACTCCGTCCACTCCACTTTTCAGGTGAGAGCGAGCACTACAAGCTGCTCCTGCCTGCTCTTGGAGCAGCAAAATTGCTCTCTCTCTACCACTGGATGGCATTGCTCCTACACCTGTTTATGAGTGCTCCTGTTCTCTGAATAGAATTCGCCATAAATGTGGATTGAGGGTGAGGTACACAAATCTGCCATAGTTGCGGCTAAAATATGGAATCTGCTTGTGCATGGGTCATTTCGGCATTATAATGCATGCTTAGAAAAAAAAAAAACGAAACCACTAATTAGTACTGATAATGTATGCGACCCAGGACAGTGCAAACGCTCCTCCTAACCTACTCATAACTGGTGCCTCTATATCTAACCAAAACAATGGCAAGGGGAAAATGGAAGCTTGCAATGAGAAATTTGAAAACAGGGGGTGGGTGCTGGATTTCTCAGCCTCTGTATCTGGTAACTCATTAATGCAGCATTTCAAAACTCCCATTGATGGTCTTGCTGTGTTTTGGTTATTTGGTGGGGCCCTTTAAATCGACCTTGGGTTCATTATTATAACTTTTTTTTATGTGTAGTCAACCTTGGGTTCATTATTATAACTTTTTTTTTATGTGTAGTGCGGGACAAAGGCCTCTTTTATCAATCCTAGATTATTCCTTTCTTGTGCAACCTAAAGTACCATCAGTGAAGGCAGTCAAAAACTTTCTCTGTATTACCTGCCGCTAGTTATGGCATCCTGTACATACAAAATAAATGAATAATCAAATGTTTGAATAGGGGTTTTTCAAAAATGAATAGACCATGCATGAGTAGGACACGAATGAGAAATCGATTTGTATGAAGCCAATTTGGATATTCACTCGCTCCTAGCAATTAGGAAATGACAAAATGAAGTCTTAAGCTGCACAGCAGCTAACATATGAATAGTGACTACTTTTTTTGACACATTTGTCATGTTTAATCAAACTATGTGACTGTATCTGCATATGTCTGCATACGACTATCTGTGTAGTTCTAATAATGACTGTCTGAGGAATATATGTAGACATATGGAAACATTTTTAATGGCTCACTTTTTAAAGTACTTGTCTCCACACTTAGTACCAAATAGAATCAGGTGAGAGCAATTTGAGAATAGGGTAAAGACTAGTGAATTTATATTGAATAATTATGACATCAGTAACAAATATATATCTTTAAACATTAAGCAGGTGTGCTTTTGCTTGCAAACTGTGTGTGCTTGAAAACTGGCATCATTACACCAGACCTTGCCTTCCTAATAGGGAGAGCTTTGTAAGCCTAGCAAACTGGCAGAACAACGTGTGAGGAAAACAGGCCCTTAAAAGGCGTGGAATCTAAAGTCATGCCGATTTCACGGAATCTTAAGAGAGAGGCTGTACCCACTCAAGGACATTGCTGGCTTGCCCCTGCGCTGGCTCTTGAGGCATTTTGTTGTGTGGGTTTGCCTTGAGCAGTTGCTTTGTTGGTAGCAGAGATGGATGCAGGCGAGTCTCAGAATCCAGGCCATAGTGTTGTGCTTTCTGCTTTGTATGGATGGATGTACGTTGTTTTCTCTTCTGTGGCTGCTATTGTGAGTTATCTGCGTGGAGGTTCATTTCACCTGGAAGCTTTGCCTGTGTCTCAACCAGAAATCATCAACGAAGGGTTGGAAGAGTGCTCACATGTAGTGGTGAGACTATAGTTTACCGTTGCAGTTAATGATCTGTGAGTTTGATGATTTCACATAAAGAATAATTTTTCTACAGATAGTCAATGCACTTGAAATGTAAGCACCAACTCTGCACGTGTTTCACATGATGTATTCACGACTGACCTTTGCTAGCTTGTACAAGTATTCCTGCTTCCAAAATTTGAAGGTGTTAGTATCTCTTTCACTTTCACAAATGTGCTATTACTGTTTACATTATGTGTTATGGGGGAGGGGGGGTCTGAAAATTATGTTGATCTCTTGTGGTTTGGTATAAAACTCTACTGTTCATTTGTTGCTTGATATAATGGCATCATTAGGGCTATGTACGTCATACATCGGTAGATTTTCCTTGAATGCTTATTACTTGCATGCTTATCTATCTTACAAGCTGCATGAAATTTTATTTATGTTGAAGCTGACATTTGATGATTGCTGATAAATAATTTCCATTACGTAATTTATGGCTGGGTAATATTGTACTGATTGAAAGCTACTCTGAACCTCTTTGTTAGAACCAGGTTATTTAGAGTTTTTATGTGGAAACATTAACCCTGTACATTGTGTTGATGAGACAATTTGACCATCTCATTGGCTAAGTGGCTCTGAGAATCAGGCTATTGTTATTCCACATTTATTTATGATTATAAATTAGCACTGTGTATTTAAGTTTATTATTCAAGTAGTTTACCTTATTATCTCTTGTACATGGTCTGTGATTAACAATAAGTGCTAATTATTTAGAAGTATTAAATATTACAAATAGAAAGCTGATGCATATTACAGTGACCGTTGACATTTTTTCAGAGTGCTACATAGTATCAATAAATGGCAGGGGCTGAATGCAGTGCATATCTGTGAACAAGTGTGCAGACTTTCAGTAGAAAAAAATTGGCTGCTTAGTTTTAGATAAGGTGAAATTTAATAAGAACTAACACAAAACTAGAAGATTTGTTTCTTCATCAATATGATTTTCTATAGGAAGTTGTTAAAAGCTACTGTGCAGGTTAGGAGGCTCCTTATGGACAGAATGTTGAAAATGTCCAATTGAAAAAATGGGGTAGCAGAAATAATCAAGTCTTGGGTTCAAGAGTTAGTCAAATGATATTCATTTATTTATTTATTTCAATACCCTCAGGGCCCGAGGGCATCAAACAAGTGAATAAACTTTGGTGCTTATATTATGTACGGGAGAAAAAAGTGAATGGACAGGTACTTTATTAGCACTTGCAAAGGCAAGTCTCTGTTAAGTGCAGTGAAACGTGGGCTGTTCATACCTATGATGATATGAGATGTTATATATTAAATGGTTTTGGAAGTTGACAGCTGACTCTTAAGCTTGCTGCCGAGATATCATTTGCTCCAAAATGGCATATGATGTATGATATCTAACTTTTTTTTTATTAAATGTACTTAATATATGTTCTTATTCTGTTGTAATGAGTGGCAATAGAAAGTACTTTCAGGCTAGGTAATTATGTGCATTGCACAAATTAATAGATGATTGGTTTAAATCATCACTATATTATGAGATACAAAAAGGGCAGGAAGATTTATGCTCTAAGATCTTCGCTTCTTTGTCCTCTAGAGGCTTGAATGAGTAGCAACATATTTTCTGATTGCGGTGTAAATTATTATATGTGCAGGGCTAGGAGCTCAAGATAAAGCATGTTTAGCATATGCGTACTTTTCTAGCAACTTTTATATCTAATATTGTCATCAGAAGCCCTTTCAGTTTAGCAGCCTGCACGTGGTTCCTGCTTAAAATGGTCAAGTTCTCAAGCTTTGCCAAGTGTTTCTCAAGTGCCATTTCAGCATGGATAAATATGATTTAATTCAGTGCACGAGGTTTTCTTACATATTTTGTTTTTTCTCACGTAGACTGATGGCAACGCCAGCTTCCTACGGGCTGCTCGTGCTGGTAACCTGGAAAAGGTGTTGGATTACCTCAAGGGCAGCATAGACATCAACACAAGCAATGCAGTAAGCTGATTTCAGGACTTGTTGAAGGGCCAGTCAACAGACTTCGACATTTTTTTCACTCCACAAACAATTTGTACAGTAGACCGTGGCAATCACATTTTCCACATATTACAACACTGCGCATCGCGCAGTCCCTCCATTATGAAAAACAATTCCCGCACCTTTTTCCTACTGACCTATCCCCATCATACGTGCAGTGACACAAACTAGCCCATGGCCATCTTGTACCACTGAGCGTGTCGCTTGATCCTTTGTCCTACAAAACGGCGCGTTGGCCCTGCAGTGATGCTGTTTTGGCCGCGCAGTCTTCGTTGTCATTTTCTCGGGCTGTCCTCTGCCATTTGCTAGAGCCTGACACTACAGGGAGAGGTGGTATTGCCTAAACGGAAGTGTTTGCGATAAAGAGGCGTCTCGTAACTTTAGCGCTGGGGAAGGCTGCTCCTCGTGCAACGCTTTCTTCCCGCGCCACTATGACACGTGCTCAGATGGGTAAACCCTGCTTGGTCACTGATCACGTATCGCTGATGTCGTGTAACGTTTTCAAAGTGGGCGGAGTCACGATAGGTGGCTATGCCTTCCCCTTCTTTACTGTGGAGAAGCGTAACGAGGCCACGTGAAAATTTGAAATCTACTGAAAATGATGTTCTAACCGCTGTAACTACGCATTTTCAAAAATCTAGCGGCAGCATGTTCACAAAGCAAAAGTGCACATATTTCTCTTCATTACGATTTTCGGACCTCGAGGTTGTTTACTGGCCCTTTAGCTTTGCTGAACTTTAAATAACCTGATGCAATTTTCATGGTATAAAATGAATGTGTTGCTGTAAGCAGTGACCATGTGCACTTCTGTGTATTATTTGGCTTCTGTGTAATTGATTCATTGCATAAAACTAATTGTCTGTGTTCTCACACAATATTCTATTTTGGCTAAGCTTAAATCATAAAATATTAAGACTCTTCTGACGAACAATACTGTTAGTTTGCATTGCACTACCTCTTCCACACGTGCTCTGCATTGGACCCTGCTTCTATTTGTGCTTGTAGGATCGAAGGAATAGAATGTGTGAAATTGCACCGTGCTGGTTATCTTGCACTGTGTCATTTCATCACCTTAAAGCACACTCAGAATCGACTCTCTTGATTTTGTGTCTTACCTTGTGGTAGTGCTAATAGCAAAGTGGTTGTGTGTGTGTTTATAGCATTCTTTCAGTCACTCTTCTAGCATGATAATCTACCTTGCAGCATCACACATAGCTTTGCAATATTTATTAGCTATCATGCTATAATGTTCACTACCAATCATTATTAAACGTTCATTGATATCATTGAGATGCTGGACAATTCAAGAGTGTGGAAGATCACCAATAAGTTCAGTGCTTTTATTTGATCAACATGTCATAGATTGCATTAGCATTCATTGAAAGCCTAGGTATTATGACGGGGACACACTCTATGTATAGCTTGTACTCTATTTCAAGTTAGTTTTCACCATATAGAGTTTAATGCAGCTGCTTTGTCACATGGTACTCTTTGTATTCTAGATGTACAACCTTGATATAGTGAATGCAGAATTAAAGATTATCAGACAAAATAATTAAAAATTGTTTGGCCACCTTTTACTTTGATGTGCTGTGTTATGAAACTGAAATTCAAGATCTCAGAAAACATCTATTTTTACTGTGCAAATACTTGTTCATTTTCAACAAAGATATCTATTCTTGTACCAAAAATATATAATACTTGGGAAGCACTGGAAATGGCACATTCAGCACATGCACGTGTGTTTTGACCAGGGACTTCAACTTGAATGACAATCAGATAGGATCACACCATTTGCATGATTATGCATTGATGACTATGCAAAGCACGACTATAGTATTTGGCTTCCCATATGCCCATATTTGCACAGCAAATCACTGACAGATCATTAAAATTGATAGTAGACCCTTTGCTGGTCTATTGTAGGCATCATGCTTGCATTTATTCTGCACAGACTTGATGGGCAAGTTTTTGTTACCGATATTGATGTATATGTACATGCTTTTAGCAAATATTGGATATCGCAGAGGTATTTTTGTGTTGAATGTGACTTGGTTACAATGAAGTTCAAGTGTGGCACCGAAGCAATGAAGATAATGCTTTCAACTATGTAAGTTGATGGATTGGCTTACCAGCTAAAACACTGCAATATTGTGCATGAGGTAGTGCACACTGCAGCGAGATCAATGCCTAGAATGAGCAGTTCAATGAGGTATATGTGCTTGTTAGACACTCACCTGGACAAAGTTAATCTGAAGCCTGCTACTGTGCCTTCTAATACTCAAGATAGCTTTCGAATTTACAATATCAAAAGTGAATTGTACTAGTATTTCACTTTGTGCTATAACAGAATTAAAGTAGTATTGTGTTGAATTTGCGTGCAGAATGGGCTCAATGCACTTCATCTGGCTGCTAAGGAAGGCCACGTCAACGTGGTTAGTGAACTGCTCAAGCGTGGAGCTAATGTTAATGCTACCACGAAGGTATGTATCAAGGATGTCCGTGGCATCAATCAGCTATAGGTGTTTATTGGTGATACTAGTTTATTTCAGCTACTACTACTATTTTGTTTTTTACTGTAATTACAGTTAATGTATATTTCACTGCTTTTTTGTCCTCCTTTCTCTTCTTTTCTGTGTGGTTAATAGTCGGAGAAATATATTGATAAAATATTATTGCGCTCATGCAGCACATATTGTGACCATGTCTCATGGCTTGGGAGCTCCTGCATCTTACCATTGTGTCCTTTTACTTTGATTTCCTATTTTTGATAATTTTATGTGTCATCCTATCCTGTCCTTTTCATCGGTTCTTTGATCTTATTTGAGATATGGCTACGACATACTTTGCTACTTTAAGGTGACCTTGTTTTTTTCTTGCCACCAACTTTTTCTTATGCTTCTTCTAAATACTATTCTGTCCTTCGATCCCCTGCTAACAAACATTTATTTCATTTATTACAATGTATGCTAGGTGTTTATCAAGAATAATCATATGTAGTAGAATAGGAGTAAGTATTAATGAACTTTGGCAGTAGTAAGTGGACCCAGTACACATATTACTGTATTGTAGATCCCAATTAATTAACAATCCTGGAATGAATTGGGGGCAGTCACTGCAGTAGCCACTGGAGAGTGTGCTCAATTTTGGACAGTCTTCATGTATGCCTCTGCTGATTTGTGAGCATCAATTCTAGATTAAAATTAGAAATTCTTGTAGGCCTATACGTATTTCACTGACATTACAGCTGGCATTAATCTGAATTTGCACCTGCCTAGAATACTCCCAGATAAGTAAGCCATTCTTCATTCTTTCTGTTGAATGTCTTAGTTTATTTTTACGTTGGTGCACTCTGAAAATATTCTCCTAATCACTACCACATGAAAAAAAAAGTGAATAAAAACATAACGTACATAACGGGATTCGAACTCGGGTCCCCGGCATGCCAGCCCAGCATTCTACCACTGAGCCACGTCGGTGCCTGGACATCCTTTGCAAACTGGCCTTAGGCAGGCTTGATGTCAGGAAAGGAATCTGGTTAATATGAGTAATAAAACGTTTTTTTTTTGGGGGGTGATACCAAACGAACAACCAGGTGTTACATAATGTGAATTGTGCAACAAGTGGGCTGTTTAATGCTCCAATCCTTTGCGAAAGCTTGATCTTGTTCACCTATTAACTGTGGCGCATACCCACTGTGGGGTATTGCGGGGAACAAAATCTTCTGGCATAATTCTTCATCGTAGTCAGCATAGCACACACAAAAAATTGCACAGTTCGTCGCAAGTGTGTAGCAGGCACCACACTTCTTCGAAGAATGACGAAGGATGGCATATGAATGCCTGCCTACTACACAATTATTTATGGGGTAGTGGGTAACCTGCAGGCGTGCTTGCAGTAGCTACCCAAAAAGTGCTAAAAAAAAGGCTCTGAAATGCTGCTCTTCCAGCTTTTGCTGAGACAGTGCTGTGCGTTCCACTCAGGCCTGGCGGTTTTTTTATTGGTGGTTAATTTGGTCATGTGTATGCTCATGAAAAAATGTCTATTATGTGCTGGAAGTCCCCTGAGGGGCTTATGTTCACATAGAATGTGTCATGACATGCTTGTGGAAATTAAAACACTATGGGTCATTGTGATAGAATTGAGCGTATTCTTCATGATTTAGGTAAAAATCATAAGTTTGAATTGGTACAGAAAGTGCCGAAAAGTGACATGTCACAACAATTTCCAAAGAAGCAATGGTACAGTACTTTCATGAAGTAAGCATTCAGTGCTTGAATAATGTTTTTTTTTTCATATTACCATTGCATGGTTCTGACACTCTGACTGGTAGGCTTCCTACTACATGTACACAGACACACACACTTGCACATGCACTTACAAACTGAAGGTGCACATGAAAATTGATTGTCAAAACCTCCAAGCAGTCTTTTGGAAGCTTCCATAATTATAACTGTACACATGAATACAACTTTATTTATAACTGATTATCAAACAAAGGTGTATGGCAGTTTTTCCTTTCACAACTAAATAGAAGTGTAATCGTAGGAGTAGCAATTCTGAATCTTTTAACCTAGTGGGCCCACCCATAGCTGAGTACTGCAAATAAGTGTTGACTAGCAAAAATGTTGCCATAGTTCCTGAATATTAAACACTTAACATTAACTTTATTACTGTACCTAAAATTATGCAACCAAGAATAAGCACTGCCTGTTTCTTTTGCACATGTTGATTCTCTCTCTAAATTGCCCCGCCGCGCTGGTCTAGTGGCTAAGGTACTTGACTGCTGACCTGCAGGTCGCGGGATCGAATCCCGGCTGCGGCGGCTGCATTTCTGATGGAGACAAAAATGTTTTAGGCCCGTGTGCTCAGATTTGGGCGCACGTTAAAAAACCCCAGGTGGTCTAAATTTCCGGAGCCCTTCACTACGTTGTCTCTCATAATCATATGGTGGTTTTGGGACGTTAAACCCCACATATCAATCAATCGATTCTCTCTAAATCGCTTGGTAGCTTATAAACAATGAGATAATCATCCTGGCTGCAAGGTGTGTGCTTGAAGCGGAAGAATAGATATTTTTCTTTATTGATATCATTACTAAATTACCATTCAATATTTAGTGAAGTGTAGCACTTGTCGCAGCACACTTACTCGCTAATGCAAATTCTTCACATTCTGAAAAGAAAATATGATTATTGGGTAGCAAGAAGTGAAATGTAGGTATATAATCTATGCCTGTTCTCTTGTGTGTACCTGTGCTTGGCAGACCTAGGTGCTGCCTGCCAGCTCATAGCCATAACTAAATTGAATAGTAGTACTAGCATTTAAATCCCCATATTTGTGTGTGTGTGTCCATGCTTGTTCTGCATATATAATGCATTGCTTAGCTAAACTTCAGATAGAGTACTTATTATATATATAAACCTTGCGATGAGAATGGCAGAATGGTTATGAGACATCTGCATATTCTGCTTACTAAGTTGTGTAGTGAAGTGCAGATGGAGTAGGGTGTACTGGTCGGCTAGTTGGTTGAACATAACGTAGGGGAAACAGTGCACAAGACCAGGACACTTAAGGCACACATACAGCCACTCTACATGTGGTTGTATGTGTGGCTTTACTGTCCTGGCCTTGTGTGCTGTTTTCCGTATGATATAGGATAGACTCATTGTTCTTTCTGGACACAGTAGAAGCATATGACGAATTATACTGCACTAAAATGTGTTCTTAATATTAGCTAGCTAAATAAAATTTTGAATCTATACTGAAAAATGTAAAATGTATAGTGCAAGTCATTCAAACTTTTTTCATTGGGCAATTTCAGACAAAAGCAATTATCTAGTCTTTCAAAGGCAGGCCTGGAGCTCAATTTTAAATTTACAGCTAGTGAATATTTCTCTTTCATGTAGTTTTTTTACTTTTATTGTGCACACCAGAAGCATAAAATGTTTTCTTATGTTGAATAAGGTATAATTTTTTTAATAAACTTAATTTTCTATGTGGTCAAATAAATATGGTAATGCAGTTCAGTATAATATTAAGCTCATTTACAAGAAAATTTATAACTTGTGAAATACATACACAGTACACACTACAAGCTCTGTTATCATCAGTATTCGCAAATCAGCCATGGTTGTCTAGTGGCTAAGGCACTCGGCTGCTGACCTGCAGGTCACAGGATTGAATTCCAGCCGCAGCAGCTGCATTTTCGATGGAGGCGGAAATGCTTGAGGCCTGTGTGTTTAGATTTAGGTGCACGGTAAAAAACTCCAGGTGGTTGAAATTTCCGGAGCACTCCACTATGGCATCTTTCATAGTCATATATGGTTGTTTTGGGTCTTTAAAACCCAACAATTATTATTATTATCAGTATTAGCAAAAATGATTTCTCCAGATGCATATCAGTCTCCGGAAGATGCCCCTTTTTTTCATTTACACCTTTTATTCCTTTTTTTTTCTCACAGAAAGGCAACAGTGCTCTGCACATAGCGTCGCTGGCAGGCCAAGAAGAGGTGGTGAAGCTGCTGGTGCAGAAGCAAGCCAATGTCAACGTGCAGTCACAGAATGGCTTCACACCTTTGTACATGGCCGCTCAGGAGAACCATGATGGAGTGGTTCGTTTCCTCCTGGCCAATGGCGCCAATCAGAGCCTCGCCACAGAAGTAAGGCATGCCGAAACTTTAAAAAGTGGGTGTGCTCTGATTGTTTTTTTTTTCTTTCAGGATGGCTTTACCCCCCTGGCAGTGGCATTGCAACAGGGGCATGACAAGGTGGTGGCTGTTCTTCTCGAGAATGATGCTCGGGGAAAAGTCCGCTTACCAGCGCTGCACATTGCTTCCAAAAAGGACGACTGCAAAGCAGCTGCCTTGCTGCTACACAGTGAACACAATCCTGATGTCACTTCTAAGGTCTCATCTAAATTGTCTTCTCACTGCTGTGCTGTTCTGAATACATTTCTTATAGTGCAGTCCTTGTTAAAAAGCTCTTCTACATAGGGAGAAATTTAGGTATAGCCTTTGGTTTGACATAATCTAGAATATAAGTGAGGAAACAAACAGCTATAATTAATAATGTCCTTCATGTGTAATTGGCGTATTGACCTTGAATTCAGTTAAAAATATTGGCCTACTTTAGATTATGTGCTTGGTTGAACGTTTTGTGTTTACTACGAGAAAGTTCACGATTTCTATCATCTACACAGCTTTCATCTGATATCTGAAGTGTTGAAATTTGCATGCCATGCAAAAGAAATCATTGTGGATGGCAAAAGTCTGACCACTTATGTTATTGTCCACAGAATTTCCTTTTGCATTTATAACTGTCATTTGTTTTTTCTTAAATGAATACTGCAGTGTATTCCAAAATTGTAGAATATATCAACAATGTGTGCCATCCTACAGTATAGTGAAACATGTAGCAGAATTTTATACATGTGAACCTGTTATATTGAGTCATTGTCTACATCGAACTGTTGTTACATTCTCTTGGAAATCCCTTGCAGAAGTATAGAACTGTACAATAAATCCTTACCTTCATTTATCAATATAGAAACTTGTGAGATTTTTAACGATGCTGCAATCGCTTCTCACCTTGGTGATACTTATGCTGATGAAACGGTGTTCTGGTGCTGTATCTGAACATAACAAAACAATGTGCTAAAATTGAAGGAAATTATATGCAAGAAACAAAAAGGAGCAAGGTGTATATGTATCTCAAATTAGATGGTTTACGTAGCTGAGGTCTTTGTAACAGGAAATAAAATGTGTAAAATGATGACATGGCAGGACACAAAGCACAATGGTTTTCATGGTGTGCATTTTCACACCATATATTGTAATTTGATGCATTCTTTGTACCACCATTACAATTTTCAGCCAACCAGCCAAATTTTCCATGCTTCAGCAGGATTGTATTTGTGCTCCATAATGATGAATTTGCTTTAGTTATTTTTACTGCGATACAGCCTTGGAATGCAGGGTAGCTTACTTATAGCTGAAACAACTAGTTTGAAAGCAGTGAAGTATAATACCTGTGGCCTTTTATATAGAATAACAAACATGTTGAGCTGGTTTGCGATTTATTCAGATTCAGTATATCTGGGTTCGACTGTAGTGGAATATTATAGTGTAAAACATATTATTACAAGTGCCATATATCACTTATAGTAATCTGAAACCACATCTACAAAGCTGCTTGTTCTTAAGCGTTTCCTTCCACTGGCCAGTTCATGATGTACCCAGCATGAATATTGCCTGAATTTTTTTCTTACAAAAAGTTCTAGCTATGAAATGTCTTCAGGACTACAGGCCTGCATAATTGACAACTTTTGCAATGTGTCAACACAGGGATAATGTCAATATGTACAGTGAGGCTTTTATCTAATACATATCAGACACAAATGTCAAGTTCTGGGCATTGGTAAGCTGTCTTCTTTTGGGGGAGGGGTGTGTGAAAGTAAATGTAGTGAAAGTCAGCATTCTAGGTGAAGATAGAAATTCCAGGGCTAGTAATGAACAGAGACGGGAGCACACACGGCAGTTTTGTGTAACCATAACATTTCTATATGGCTAGATGTAGTGCAAAGTGAAATCTCAAGTTCCGGCTATATAAAAACGGGAATAGGTTGCATGCTTTGGTGTTTTAATTGCAAAAATTATTTCATTTTACTGTTGCAGCTTAAGTATTAAAGTAAAAGTATTAGTTTTCATTATTCTTTCATCACATAACTTCAAAAGCACAGTATGAGTCAGTGTAGATGATCACAAGACTGCCATTGGGAAAGATGTGCTTGTTTTGCCAAGTGGCTATTTGGGCACATGAGTAAGACATGTGTCTCATGTGTTCCTCATAATCCTCATCTGGTTGTGCACTTAAACATTATTAGTCATACTTATTTGGTCCCACACAGTGCAGAGATAATGTAATAGATATACGGTAATTACAAAAGCATATGAACATCCTCGAGTGGCAGTCTTGATGTCAGTTGAAATAAAATGTGAAGCTTTTAAAGTGTCAGATTATTAAGTTATAAGTAGAGTGAGAGAATGGAGTAAAGGGTGGGAAATTAGACTTGTCTTTCCAGTTTTCTACCCTACACAAGTGGAGGGGAACAAGGTAGAAAGAGATTGAAGCCATGAGTCTGATCCGTTCACAAGCTTGGTACATCATAACTACATTCAAGGAGCTTTCAAGTATTGCAGAAAAGCTCTTATGCCCTCGTAAGCTGAGGAGCTGCTAGGTCAAGCTTCCAAAAGTTGATCTTTGGTAATTAATAGATGTGTCTAATGCAATTAATGAGACCTCCGATAAGAACTGATTGTATGTACTGCCTATTGAAAATATCCAAAATACAGGTGAAAACAGACTGACTAAAGCACAATGTGATATATAGGTTGTTCAAGCAGGAGTCAGTACTTCAAGCAGGCTGGTCGACTTTTTTATTACTATTAGTCTATTATTAGTCTACTATTAGTGTATCAAATTATAAAAAAAAATGTTTTTCATAGGCTAAATATATGACCAAAGCAACTGCTGTGGTATCTCGCTAGTTTATATTGTACTGAGGGCACCCCAGGGCTATGGTAAAAGTGAATGGAAGTGTTTCTTATACTTCCTGATTTCGGAGCACTTTGGATGCAATAGAATCCTTAGTTCAAAGCCTGGATGCCTTGCTTACATTATGCAAAAAAAAGCAAAAAAACACAATTTTACTTCAAAGACATGGGTTTATATTTTGTGCAGCTCATGTGAGTAAAGAAGCAGGAGAGAAAGGGAGAGTAAAAAAACAGCAGCAATAATGAAATGGAACATTTTATTTTCTTTTTCCTTTTTCTGCCCAATACAGAATCTACTGCTTCACGTTTGGCCTAATAACACTGATTTTGTTCACATTTTCTGATATTACAGAGTGGGTTCACTCCACTTCACATAGCTGCCCATTATGGCAACAGTAACATTGCATCTCTCCTACTGGAAAAGGGAGCTGATGTTAACTTTCCAGCTAAGGTGAGTAAGCTGAAATGATGCTTGATCTAGTGATCTCATGGCAATTTTTGTGTGTCAGGGCGAAGGAGAATAATAATTCCATAGCGGTATTTTCCAAGTTTTGCATTGTGGGGACCTTATTTTTATTACAACTTGTGCCTTAATTTTTTTTGTTCCAGGCAGTCTAGAAGTTGCAAAATTTTGACAAGACTGCTCATTGTCAGATGCAGTTATTTCATGATCTAAAGTGTGTAGTTCAATCAATGATAAATGCTGGTTGTCCTAAAAACAAGTGACTTGGGCTGTAAATTTGTCTGGATGTTCAATTTCTGTTGTGGTACACAGTTGAAAGATGTGGAATGCGTTTATATCAGCTAGTGCATTTGGCGGAGTGCAGTGGTCACCATTTAATTACCCTTGGCTTCATTTTTGTATTACCTGTAGCCGTGTTTGAGAACATGGCTTCAGGAAGTTAATTTGAAAGGCTAGACAGATCATGTGAATGAGTTTACAATGTCCTCGGTTTTATACATGTGGGTGTTGGTAGAGAAAAGAAAGGCGTGAGGTAGTAGAGAGAGAAAGGAGGTTAGCGATGTGTTGGACGAAAGGTGATGAAGCAATGGATAGTAAAAAAAACTGAATAAGCACCACCTATACTTGCAAGGTGCTACAGCATCACTGTGTAGCTAGTAGCTAAAACTGATGCAATTCAGAGATTGCAGTTGTATTGAACTAAGCCTTGTTTTTGCTCAGGCACTAGCCCAGCTACTATGAGCTTTGCCATCTCGCTTCCTGTTAGCATTTGTTTGTGTCCTTTTATCTTTTGCGCTTTTTGTTATGTCCATGCTATTACTTTTCTGCTGGTACCTGCAAAGCCTGTGTCCAAATAGAGAAATACCTGTGAGATTTTTTCTTTCCATATAAAGGATGTACATTTTGTATTGCATTGGTTTGATGAATGTGGTAGAGATGGTGCACATGTGGGCGAAAAAACCCACTGTATTTGCACACAAATTGACCTGAATGTGCATTAGCTGTCGACCAAAGCTTCTATAAATCTTAATTATATGGCAGAAATGAGACGCATGGCCGTAATTCCTTATGTTCACCTGCTGTCACATAACCTAAAGAAGGTGGTGTTTCAGGACAATATTAAGGTGGTATTTTCAGTGCCAAATAAACTTTGAAAATTGTGTAATGACAAATTCATATCGAGGGTAAAGAATGGTGTACATAAAAAGACATACGCAAATATTTGTTGAGTGCATATTCTTTATTATTTATCTTATTCTGTTATCGGTGTGAAAAAAAATATGTCGGCCTAACCAGTAGGTGTGTGAATGAGCAACTGAAAAAGCACAGTTAGAAATCAAATAAACTGCCGCCGGAAGGTTTTCACACTCTTCACGTTCGTGCATGTAGTTGCCGGCCTTTGTTCCAGAATACAGTCACTGTTGGTCGGCATAAAGATGAGTTGACTCGTTTGTTCCTGGAAGCAGAACTTATTGATGCTCTTTTAGATGTTTGTATCCGCAAGCCTTCGATCGCATTGTCACCCAAAGAGCTTGGTTTCCTGCGTATGCGGTGATACGTGGTTTATCTGTTACGTTTCTTTTATGTAGATGACATTGTCAAGCATTATCTGAGTGATCCCACATGCTTATCTGTCCGCCTGACGATTATGGCTTAAAAGCTGTCCGAGTTAGAAAATAAATATGGTGTTGCTAGTAACGCTCTATTCTCTCCGTCTATTCCTTCTGGTTTCCGTATTTCACTTCGCGCAACAAAACATTCTTTCTGTTTCTCATTTTCTCTTATTGTATTGTTCAGCTGTTCCAAGATGTATCAGTATCCCTCAATGTCAGTGAGCTTCAATTTTGTTGCCGCTATCATTCTTGCCACTATCGATTCTGTTATTATTGGTCAATTCAGCCTATTTCTTCATGAAAATTCACAAAAGGCTCTTCAAAAGTAAAACAAGTGGTAATACTTTTTTAAGCACTTCTAGTTTGAACATTGACCTACTCAAACTAATTTGGCCCATTTGCTATGGTTGATATTTCGGAAGTTGGCTGTTTGACTGTTTTTTTTTCTTGCGTTTTCTCTGCTTTGTCCCGTTTCATGTGGTACTTCACCTGCAGACATTATGATGCAGTACATGCAGAGTAGGGGTGATGCTATGTCGGCTTATTATCTGGAGAAATGACTAAGTTATCTTATTCTGACACTTTCTTGATGCTACTTTTTTGCAGCACCAAATAACACCATTACATGTGGCTGCAAAATGGGGAAAAAGCAACATGGTGAAGTTGTTACTTGAAAAGGGAGCGAAAATTGATGCCTCCACCAGGGTAAGTCAAGTGCTTTCTTATGGGACAGCATGATGTTGAGCAGCCAAAGCTTGAACAACAGTAGGTGACGTTGCTGTGCTAGTTGGTGCATGTGTACATAGTTGAGAAGTGTAGAACTTAAATGAGGAAGGAGAAAAAAAATGCAAGTATTGCTTAATAGACAAAGCTTATTTTGAATCCTACAGTGCACATACATAAAGAAGCCAGGAAGTAGTACACCAAGTTGACAATTTTAATGGTTGTAGGCAGAGATAGGAGGACAATATAACAGACATTTAATACATTATTTTAGGGGAATGTGTGCACTCACAAGAGCTACATAAGATTATTTGGTGAGTCTATGTTGAAGCAACGCAAGAGAGGAGGGTCTTAGTGGCCTTGTGCACTGTAAATACCTCGTAAGGAGGCATGCTGTGGTGGCAAGCAGGGCTGTCAGTTGGATGTCAGATGGCTCTTGTCTCAACATGATACACTTTGCTCGCGCCAGTTGTTTCTCACCCTCGAACATGGTGTTGGTGCCAGAAACTAGGAAAGCACGCTGTGCACCACCCACTCGCACAGCATGCTCATTTGTATCAGCTCTGGCATACTTGGTCTCGTAGGTTCACGGGGGGCCTTCAGTGACTGTGATGTGGTGATAGTTTATTGTTTGGTGGCTGTTTCAATATTAGACAATGGGCTCACGAAGGCAACCCATAATAACTTGCAACATGTCATAACCTGTAAAATTAAACATTTTTTCTTTTTCTTCATGTGGTGTGTAAAATAGATGCATTGTCTTTTGAATTACTTCTGTATTCAATGTAATACATTTCTTTTTTAGCAACTTTAATGACAGCATTCTTGTTGGTTAGCATGTCAGGTGGAAAGTATTTCATTTATTTGGGTTTGTTACCCCCCCCCCCCCCCCCCCCCCCCCCCCCGTGTTCATCCTATCACATCATAAAGCATCCAATCCCGAAATAAAGTGGAACCTTGGTGTGCTTTCTAAACTGCTTCCGGTACGCAAGAGATTTTTCTGTGTTCTGTTGGTTCAGTTTGAGTAAATTTTGTTTGATAAAAATAATTACAATGGAGTACAGTGTTAGAGGAATCAATACCCCTTTTGTCCTACCACCATATATCCTTGAAATGCCATACTACCATACTATCATATATCCTCTTCTCCTGCAGAATCGTGATGCACAGTACTACATATCTCTGTCACATTTGGAGACGTGTTTTTTTATTACAAAAGTGGAACGTGAATTACAGTAAACTCATAATTTTTCCTTGTATGAAAATTTCTCACCTACGATACATTTTGCTCTTTCTGTGAATATACATGATATACCTAACTAAAGCCAGGCCCCGGAAACATAGCGCTAGTTTTGGTTTCAAGGAACATGCACGCTTGTAGTGGTTGCCTGGTGTCCTAAGATCCGATTGAACGGAGTGAGGTTGATGTGAATACTTGTATTTATTTACTTTCACAAGTTTTTACAAATAAAAAAAATTCATTACCCCTGTAAAGAACTTCTTTTCTGTTTATATGTCTTTCCTTATTCCTTATTTTGTGAATTTTAAATCAGGCGAAGTGCGGGAAATGATTGACTTGCATTCACAGCGCTTGTCGCCGCTCCTTCTCGCCCCTCGCTCAGTGATATTAGAAGTTGGATCACGCTCAGTTATCTCACTCAGTCGGCGTATCAACTACCGAAAAGATAACCCTCCTGTGGCAACCCTCCTGCTCTAGATTTTTCGTTCTTTCCCTCTATTTCTGGACGTCACCAGTGACGTCATGAAAGACATTTTCTGTTCCCGATTTATTTCTAGTAGGATGCTCGGTAATCGCCAGTGGCAAAATTGGCGCTGCTGCTGCCGAGAGCGAGAACATGGGAAATATAGGGAGTTTCTGCCTCCTGCTAAAGTGTCATCTTCATGTGCTGTTATATTTTGCTTTTTCGTACAGGATGGGCTAACACCTTTGCACTGCGCAGCCCGTAGTGGCCATGACCAAGTAGTTGAGCAACTGCTTGAGAAGAATGCTCCCATTACAGCCAAGACCAAGGTAGCAACTGATTCCATTGGTATTGAACCCATCGCGAGTCTAAAAGTATATTCACTCACTACCCACCTAAAAAAAATGTGAGATGTCATTTATGAGAACATCACGTAATTCTAGAACACGTGTGGCTAATTCTGTTTAGCTAGTAGTGCACTAGGTTTAAAGGGCCCCTCACCAGGCTTCGATGTTGCAAACACACAAGCGTAAATTGCTCGGTGGTCATTATTTCTTGCAAATTATGAAACACCTGCTTGGTACAGGAGTGGAGAAATTTGAGTTGGAAGGCCGCACATCCTTCACCTTGAAGGATATTGAAAGGTAACAATCATGCATGCCTTCATTGCAGACACTCCTAACTTTCACAACCAGTTTGGAGTTGCATGTGCATGCAACCAGATGATGACACATGTATACAATCCTTTGTGCAATGTGGAGCATGCGATGCTGCCACTGCAAGTGTGCTAAGAATTAAACTAGAAAGAGAAACAAAAGAAAAGGAAATAAGCGGAGCTCCCCCCATCAACATCATGTGTTCCCTTTCCTCTGGCACTTGAGGGAACACCAGGGAGCTTCGCCACTAATGTACGCTAGCCTATGTAAAGGGGGAAAGCGTAGGCTGTAGTAGTTTTAACAGTGTAGATCAGTTTGTTCTAACAGGTCTAGTAATGAACCTACTTAGAAAATTCTTGTGGTGAAATGCTACCTGGATGGTACCTTACAACTTCTTTCAGTAGTTTTGCAAAATTTTGAGTCTTGGTGGGGGGGGGCCCTCTAAAATGCTTCGAACAGTCTTGTCATTTATTGAATACATATGACTAGTGGAACTAAAACAGGGACAAAGGAAGATACAGATAGGACGTCCTCTAGACCTAAGCTGAAAATTTTTACTTTTGATAGTTTTGCTAGTAATATGTATTCAAGTCATAACCAGCTAGCCCAAATTTTAGCTTTGTCATTTCTTGCTGTCTGTGCAGAATGGTCTTGCTCCTCTACACATGGCATCACAAGGTGATCATGTAGACAGTGCTCGCATCCTACTTTATCATAAGGCTCCAGTGGATGATGTCACCGTTGTAAGTATTGTCGTCTTGCTCATATTTTTTTATCTCTGTACAGGCACTAGAGAAAAAAAAATCACTTATTTAAGCAGTATATTATGGCAGTAAATACAGTCAGTTGAACCTTGTTGGTGTTTATATTAATGGGAAATTCAATATGAGACTTGAAAATGCATTGCAGCTAGACACATGCTTAGTTATTGGACACATTAGAGTAGCTGCAACTTCTTGTGCTTGTTCATTTTGTTTGATGTAAGGTAAAAGGTCTTAAAGATTGGGACTGAATTGTACTTATGGCATTACAGTATTATGGAGCTAAAGGTACTGCACCTTTTGCTGCTGAGCATGAAGACAGCATTATGTTTCTTAACATTGATTTCAAGAAAATAGTTACTACAGTTGAACCTTTTTGTAAGAGACATGCACCGGAGAGCAGTTCTTGTCTTTAATATGAGGTGTCTTTTATAAACAGGATACCACGTATGCATTTTTTTGTCCACGCCTATTTCTTTGCAGGCACCCCGGTGTCTCTTATAACCATTTGTCTCTTAGATCAATGTCTCTTATAAAGTGGTTCGAATGTATAATGCTATTGAGTTATTAATAAGCTGTAAAGCTCTAGTGGTACCATAGCGATAAAACACGTGTTTTTCTGCTGTTGTCCTTTTGTATAGGTGTATATAATTTCTACAGTTTCTGAATCCTCAGTGTTATTGTTTCTAATGAGAAACACAAAATGACTACTATGAGGAAACAAAAACTCGTTAAGGAGTTGCATTGAAAATACATACTGCCAAGGAACGAAAGAAAAGGAAGGGATCAAGGGCTCCTTTCTTGGTGCCTCATGAAGTCAACAGACAATGAAAATGAAGCCAAGGAGTCACAGTGGACAATATTTATAGTTTTTAATTGTAGTGTAATAATTATGACTTAAATGGAAAGGAATTAAAGTGAACAAGGAAACAATTTGCTGTCGGTAGAGAACGAACGTACAGCCTTCGGATGTATCTGATGCTCTACAAATTGAGCTACTGGTTCCCGCGTACCTTCATTGGGTATTTCTGTATACATAGTCTTGAAAGTGCTCAGCAGTGCCACTTGTAGCCACGGTGACGAGTGTGGAACTGTTTTTTGACCAGATGGTGTCACATAGCGCATAATCTCTTTACTGTCTGGCAGTTTACTGATAAACCCTCGCATGCTACCAGAAGGCTACAGTTAAAAATTACAAATAATATTTCTTATGTCACCTTTATTGTCTGTTGGCTTCATTACATACTGCCCGAAGATAATGCAAGCTTGTATAATACCCTGGAATCATTTTCATTGCTGTTTTGTTTAGGCAAATTTAAATTAACTTAATCAAGCAATGTTTCTAGTGCTGTATGATTTTTTTTTATCTGTATTCAATTCTGTCTGAATAGCTTGGTATGTTGCTGTCACTGGGGATGACAGTGATGACTTCAAAAATGATAATTAATTGGTCACAGCTGAAACAGAAAGTCTTTAGAATGTAGCAGGACCTTTGATTTCTATTGTTACGCTGCTTATGTCCTCTTATAGCAGTTGACTTCTAAAGGTCTTCAATCATCAATGTTTCATGTAAAAAGCACTCAAGGTTCCTTGTGCAATCCGTCTTCGCTATATAACTTTAAAAGGTTGCTGGCCCTCATCCTGTTTTGTTTAATTATACAGTGTCATAAAAGATGAGCATTGTACTTGGGATTTTTTTTGGTGTAGCAGTACAGGCTGCAGTTTTTTTTTCTTTTTAATATAGTGCTCAGATTTAAAGAGTTTGTTGTAAATGGTTGAGGGCTCTTATGTTTCTCGAAGAGTTAATGTATTAGTATTATAATGAAAATAACGCTTTAATCAAAGGCGGTAAAATAATATTTTGAAAGTGGGTTTTAATATGATGTTTATTGTTATTCAAGACAAAACTAATAGAGGTTCTGCGACAAGTCCACTCTGCCTACTTAGTATACCATATCCCCATGCTTATTTTGTTTATTTGACTTCCAGGACTACTTGACGGCACTTCACGTGGCTGCACATTGTGGCCATGTTGGAGTAGCAAAGCTGTTACTGGACCGCAGAGCAGACCCCAACGCACGAGCCCTGAATGGGTTCACTCCTCTACACATAGCATGCAAAAAGAATCGCATCAAGGTTGTTGAGCTGTTGCTCAAGCACGGAGCTTCCATTGAGGCCACCACAGAGGTTAGCATTGCATCTCAGTGACCTCAAACGTCTGTTTTGGTTCTTTGTTTAAAACCATTGTCGCCTGTTTTTTCATATAGTCTGGGCTGACACCCCTGCATGTGGCTTCATTCATGGGCTGCATGAACATTGTCATCTACCTGATTCAACATGGAGCCAATCCAGACATCCCTACCGTCAGGGGAGAAACACCCCTGCATTTAGCTGCCCGTGCCAACCAGACAGACATCATTCGCATTCTCCTTCGCAATGGGGCGCATGTGGACGCCAAAGCCAGGGTTTGTAATTGCTTCAAGCGTGTACTTTCATACTGTTTCTTGATCAGTGTTAGGTGTCATGGCATTGTGTCCTTTGCATTTTGCAGGAACTGCAGACAGCACTGCACATAGCTTCACGACTGGGAAATGCTGACATGGTGGGACTGCTCCTGCAGCACGGTGCTGCAGTGGATGCTCCCACCAAGGATGCTTACACTCCTCTGCACGTAGCAGCCCGTGAGGGTCAAGACGAAGTGGCTGCTCTTCTTCTTGACCATGGCGCTGCTCTTGCAGCACCAACGAAGGTAAGTACAAGCGAGACACATGAGGAGAATATTCTAGAGAAAGATTAAAAACTTCTGAATAGTTTTTTGTATCGTCTCCTTGTTCTCCCGCTAACAACAAACAAATCAACAAAAAAATGCAATGTAGAAGTTGTTTGTATGGCCAGAATCATTAGTAATGTAGTAAAGTGCCAATAAAATATTCCTTATTAGTTAAAATGTTCCTGAAAGCCTTGTGATCAGTAAACGCTGCTGTGTTCGCTTCTTGTCTATCGCTCATTTTCCCTGTGATCCCTTAAACATTGCATTAGATAATATATATCGTATGTGTGCATTAAATGTGGACTCGCCAGCTGTGCATTCTTAACTATACATCTGATTGATGTGGTAAAACCAAATAACTGCCTTTTGAAATGCAACTTTAATGTTAAGTGATCTGTAAAACAATGTTACTCAGGTTGCTGTACTGTATTTTGAACTCACCTTGGGAATTATGGATGTACAAGGATAGTTAAAAGCTCCCAGGCTGCTATAGCATGTAATCCGAAGGCAACACAGCCTGGGAACATTTGAGCACCCCTGTACGTTGTCCAAAAGATGCAAGAAATTTACATCATTGCAGTAGGTATTAATAATTGGAATGCATGTGCCGTTGTATCCAAAATGCATTGCATCTTATCCGAAATGCATTAAGTCTCTATGTATGTATCCAAAACGTATCAAAAGTGCATTAACTCTATATGCGACACATTCCTTTTGTTTTTCAGCTAATTAAGATGAAAACAGTGTTCCGACAAAACACTGTTCAAAGAAGCTGTTTAAAAATGTGTTGTACAAGCAGTCTAAGTAGCTCCTTGTTCATAAGCTGTCTGCAATTCTCTAAACCCAATGCATTGCATGTTTTATAAAATACAAATGCATCGATTAAAAGAGTCCTTCAAGGCATATGCATAGAAAAAAAAGATTGGGGCCTTGTAGAGCTGATTTCATGATATTCAGAAATGGATGTACATTAATTGAAGCTCTCCATGATCCTGAGCACTCACCTTTGTACTTGTATCACCATATTTTTGCAGAAAGACAGTTCGTATATCTGACAATTTACTATACCTAAGTAACTATTTTAAGCAGGTCTTCTGAAACTTTCTGGCTGTGGAGAACTCCGATCTGGCCTTGGGGAACCTCAATGGATGGCTTCTCTAGAGTGCCATGGAACCTTTAATGTATTTTTTTTAGTCAGGGACCTTTAGCTTGAGCAAAATCACAAACATCTAGGAGGAGATGAGGGAGGGAGTGGGGAGGGGCTAACACTTATATAGACTTGCAGTTCCTTCTCCCCATTTCTCCTGGCTCGTTTCATGGGTTGTAAATCGCCTTCTGACCATACACTGTATGCTTTACTATGGGATGCAAGCAATTTGTACTTAAGCCCATTTTATTTCTTGCAAAAAAAAGAAAAATGAAAAAGAAAAAAGGTACACCAGCCACTCTGTGAAATGGCCCTTGGTAGTGTGACGTGAACGGGAGCACATAAAAATGATGAAGAGGAGAACGAACGACATGAGCGATGACTAATTATGTTTTCGAAACAAAAACAAATATATTGCCTTGGTTCGATAAGGGTTAACGTTCTTAGTCAGCACTCGCATTTTTGTTGGTTTTCTCCTTGTCCTTGTTTTATGTAGTGTTGTTCAAACTATGCGACACAAACTAGACTGGTGTCATACTCTTTTGCTGGCCATTGGTACATCGGTTGTGAGGCTAAGCCTTAATGCTTGGGTAGGCCACACCTAGGATGAAGCCATTCCTCACGTGCATTCAAAACATTTGCCAATTTTGATTACAAAACTGACATAGTGCAGTGGAAAATCAGCATGTATAAAAATTACCACATGAGCAACCCACCTGCCATGAGTGAAATATCAGTTATGACGAAATATTAGTTGTAACGAAGTAAATGAAAAATAGTCTTGCAATAGATGTAGTGTTAGAAATAAACCTTCATAATGAATCTTTAGATATACCGTACTTACTCGCGTAATGAACACACTTTTTTTCTTAAAAAATCAGAGCGAAGTAGGGGGTGCATTTATTATGCAGGGCAAATTTTATGAAAACTGTGTCGGGATGAGCAAAAATGCAGTAATGCAAAAAAAAAAGTTAGGTCCCTTAGCCTTTCGCAATTGACATATGCGTACAGTGTTTGGGCACAGCTTCTTTGTTGCACTTCACTCATCTTCGGTGGTTGATGGCGCTATCTTCTGCAAGCTGTCCCCATGCCGCCCGTGCGTGCCATAAAAGTGTTCGCGACTATCTTTTTTCGCAATCGGTCAACCGCAACAGTGGTGTCTGCTGTGATCTCGAGGGGCACCCAGAAGTGTGCACTACGACGCACTTTGCCAACTATGCGACAACCTCGCACGGCGACCGCACCGCCGCTATTGATGCTGGAGCAAGTAACCAACATTGCGTCAAGCTACCACCGAAGCATCAAAATGAACCGTCGATAATAAGATTAACGACAGAATATGGCCACCGCCTTACTGTCCACACAGCTAGGGCTCCACATTATGTGCTAGCTGACGACAATTGGAGCACCGATTATTAAAGAAATATGAAATTGCAAGCTTTTTCGCTTTCATTATCATTGCTTACCCAACATATGCTACAGAGAAGTTACTGTAAAAAAAGGTAGCCTATGTCTTGCATTCCTTGATGTACGCACGGATAACAAGCACGAAAAGCAAATTGCAACTGAAGTGAAAATCGGGGGTGCTACCATGATACGCAATTCGTCACAATCCTTTTTGGGTGACAAGCGACTTTCTTCTGGTTTTCCATAAACCTGCGATACGATGGCGACAAATGGCCCTTCACGACAGCAATGGCGACAGCAAATCCTGCTGCGGTCACTCGAAAATTGCGTGCATGTGGTTGAGTCTTAAAAGTTTTGTATTTGCAAGAAGTTACCGTCGGTTGGCCCGGGCAGTTTTTCGTGACCTTCACTCACAGTGTGCTTCTCAGCTGCGATGTATTTACCTTCGCTCGCTGTGTGCTCATCAGCTGTAATGTCTCTACACTTGCACTGTTCGTAAACCCGGCTGTGGTGCATAAATAATTAAAAAAGACTAGGGACATGTCGCGCACAAATAGAAAAACAATACGGCGCGCTGTAGTAAGCGAAGGTGGGGACGGAGCGAGCCTACGTGGCCGAAGGGGGCCGGCATAATAATAAAGAACGGAAGAGATCCAGCGGGCAAGGAGGCGCGGTGTGTGGGTTAGTGGGACTGCAGCGAATGAATGTAGGGGGTGTGTTTTTACGTGGAAAAAAAAATTGAAGTTTTGACGACTGAGGTTGGAGGGTGCGTTTATTATGCGAGTGTGTTCATTACGCAAGTAAATACGGTAACTAACTTATTTTCATGTAATATACAATTTTGTTATACATAAGGTTTGAGTGTACAAATTTTTGTTGTCTAAATTAATAAATTAGGTGTTAAGGGGGATAATGAGACCTTCCAGGAGCAGTGGCAGCTTGTGCTGCTCAGCTCGGAGGTTCAAGATAAAAAATGGGCTATCCAGCAGGCCAGGGAGGCTGTACAGAGACAAGGTCTCCCGGTACCTCCTTGTGCGGTCTAGCCCAGACCACAAACATGCTGGATATAGAAATAAAGCTTATTCATTTATTCATTCACTCATTCATTCATTCATTAAGGGGGATAAAACGGGAGCTTGCCACATTTATTCAGACTAGCAGAATTCTAAAGTCTTTTTCATGAAATCCATAGGCTCTGCGGAAACCAGTTTGAGAACCCCTGCCTATTTAAGGTAAACAACTTAAGAGAGATGAATGGGCTGTAGAAACATTTTCTGTATTTTATGGCCACTTGATCAAGATACCAACGCCTACCTGTGAAGTTGTTCTTGCTGATTTCAAGCATGCAGTAATTTTTTTGTATGTCAATTAATTCAGATGAACACTGCCATGTTATTGCTTCGGTAGGTAGTAGGAAAAAAGTGAGTCAGTAGAAAGTAATAGCTGGATACTAAACTATGGAATAAGCACAGTGCTGCAAACACTTTCCAGACCAATGATCAACATTCCTGAGTGTGATTGATGCTATGGCATTAACAACCAAAGAACTGTTGTACATGGCACAGTACATTAATATGGTAGTGCACCCTTCTGCAACAGGATTGTAGCAATTTTCTACGTTTGCTGCAAGCATGCAGATTCAGAGATCAATGCATACATTGGCATTGCAGAAAGGATTCACCCCACTCCATTTGGCAGCCAAATATGGCAACCTTAAAGTGGCCCAGCTGTTACTCCAAAAAGATGCCCCTGTAGATGCTCAGGGCAAGGTGCGTAAATTGCATTTGACATTTGTCTTATTGTGCCTCCTGAATGTGCTTTTTTCACACAATTTCTAACCTCAGAGCCTGTCACTTTTGATCACTTCTGGATGTGTGTTCAAATGCTTAGTCCAAGTGCTCACTGTAGCTGCATATTTGTACACTGTCATGTGTACAAATCATGTAGATTGTCATGTGTTGTATCTTCGAACTAGCAATAACCTAAATTGTTCTAGCCATTGTTACATTACCTACAAACATTTCTATATTTTATTTGCTTGCTTGCATGATGAATATCTTTGGGGACCATTAGATGGCATATTTAACTTGGCAAGTGTTCTGGCCAAAAATGGTAAAAAAAATTAAAAAATAAAAGAATAATTTCTTAACCAGCTTACGTGTCCTGGAGGAACTACAAATTTTTTTGCCCTTTTAAATGTAAGCATAATAAAAAATGATATTAAAAAATAATATTCAAAAATAAAACTGGGACAAAATATTGGCCTCAGTGCATGGTAAAATGAAGACTCTGTAGGTGTCTGCAGACCTGGGTGTTGAAAATTGCTATATTGAGGCTCGAAAACAGCACCCTATCTTGGTACTTTCGTATCAGTCATGGCTGCAAAACAAGTTGTAGATACTCTATTGAGCAGAATGTAAATGGGTGGTGGATACAGACAGACCGAAGCCTTGTGTCTATTTTTATCCACCACTGCTACTGCGACATGCTTTCCTCATTTGGGTAAGACAATTCCAAGGATAAAACTGCTTCAGACTTATAACAGCTGCTCTTCGTTGTCATAGTCAGAGACTGATGAAACTTCCAAAAAGGAACGTTACCTTTTTTTTATGGCAAGTGCTGTTGTCACTGGATAGTGCCTGTGCACAGAAACATGCCATTTTTAAATGTCGTTTTCAGGACCCAAAGCCATTCGTGATGGAAAATTGATATCTTTAGCCTACTATATTATTTTTGTAGGGATGGGTGAATATTCTGGTGCTTATTGTAATATTTGACCGAATATTAGAGTATTCGAATCCACTTTGACTCTGATTTAGATTAGTCAGAATTTCTTGAAATGAGCGAATATATATATACATTTGAGCACACAAATCTTCTGAAAAGGTGGTTTCACTGCAGCTTGAGAGTGCTATGCCATGAAACAGCCCATACAAAGATGATTTGCAATTTCGCGAAGCCACACCATCCCCAGTTCCGGAACTATGGCGCCAGAAGTTATGAGTGGAGCCACTACCCCGTAACATGGACCCCAAAGAACACTCCTGGCATAGGCAAGCGCGTACTGCTGCCCTTCAGATGCATCACTTCCTCGGCGTATTTTATTTAGACGTCTCGGGCCCTTTCACATTGGGTCATTACACGGCCGCTCTGATCATAGAGGGTTGCCACGTCGATGGCCCTCTTTTAGAGCCGTCAGTGCAACTCATGCAGAGGAGGATGCCATTGCTCTGGCTGCCTCCCATCCCACTGCTCACATTATCTTGACATACTCGCACTCAGCCTGTTCTCGATACATCCAGGGTTCCATCACCCCATTGGCTGCTAATCTTTTTCAAGCCATTTCCTAGCTCTTTATGCCTCACTCCGTAAAAGTAGTATGGACTCCAGGCTACACAGGCCTTCAAGCCGCTGCCCTTCCATGTCCTGATTCTGATCCTGGGAACTCCAATCTCACATGCTACCGTGATATTCTAGATTATTATTTTAGTTTGCGCCGACTTTACCCTGGCCCTTTACGTGGTCTGGCGAAAGCAGATGAACCGCTGCTACGCCGCCTTCAGACTAATACTTTCCTTAGTCCAGCAGTCGCCTGCATTTCATACTAGAAATCTCTGGCACCTGCCCAACTTGTCAGGTGTTAGCCAACACCTTTCACATTGTGGCTTCATGTCCTGCCACTCCAATCCCTTTCTTATCCCCCTTCCTCATCCAAACTAGAGAGGCTTGGGAGGAGTACCTGCTTGGCTGCTCTACCTTGGATGCGCAACACTGTGGCATGTGCCCAGGCAGCAGCGATCTCCAATGGCGTCTCGGACTAGGGACTGCTAGCCAAACGCACTGGAACTTCAAGGTTAAAGTCTAACTGTAACGAAATAGGGCACACCTCAAAAAGCCAATTTATAGGCATTCTAGCTGGAAATGATGCTACCTGCCAAGTTTTACCTTTAAAATTTAAGTGGTTACCAAAAAAAAAAAAAAAAAAAACTCTGCAATGAAAATTTTGATGCAGAAACTGGAATAAACTATGCCATTACAGCTGACCAGAAGTAATGTGGATAGCAGCCCGACAGACTGTCCGATGCAGGCGAATCGTCAGCATTGCATTTTAAAGTATGTGATTTGCGGCTGTGCCCCAAAGATTTCTCTTTAGGTGGTAACGAAAAAGCAAACTGTAAACATGCGCTGTGAAGGAAACATGGATACATGATGATGAAAGTTCGTTAAAGCGTTTCTCTAAAAAATGGCTTCCCGCGTTGCACGTACTGTGGGAGAACGTGCTGGCTCATAATAAATACTTCTTCTGGTTTATGCTCCAGTTATTCTCGCTTCATTGATAGACTACACATGGTAAGGTGACATTTTTTCTGTACCGATACTTTGTTTGGCACACTCCCATCTCTCCGACCCGCCGCGGTGGTCTAGTGGCTAAGGTACTCGGCTGCTGACCCGCAGGTCGCGGTTTCGAATCCCGGCTGCGGCGGCTGCATTTCCGATGGAGGCGGAAATGTTGTAGGCCCGTGTGCTCAGATTTGGGTGCACGTTAAAGAACCCCAGGTGGTCGAAATTTCCGGAGCCCTCCACTATGGCGTCTCTCATAATCATTGGTGGTTTTGGGACGTTAAACCCCACATATCAATCAATCAATTAACACTCCCATCTCTACCGAAAGAGTCCCTGCATTTCTGTGTACACTTGACCATGCCCAAAACATTAATACATACCTAACGTACCACTATTAGTTTTCTTATAATATGCTTCTACACTTAAATTGCTCTGAACTGAGCACAACTACGTTTCTCTTGAACTTTGCTGCTTTCATTACTCGCAACTAGAGGCGAGTTGATCAGCTTTTGGAGCTTTGATTACTCACGCATAGATGGCGCGAGTAATCTAGTGCTTTGTGGGACAATGTTATCGGTTTTGTCTTTGGAATAGCATTACACTATAATTTAGCTAGCAAAACGCACTATAATAAAGCTGCCTAATAAGAATACCTCTCGCCACCGGCACTTTTCTGGAGGCTGGTTGGGGCACTGCATCAGGATTCAACATTCTTTTCAGTTCCAACCGCATTTGGGTGAAGAAATACTAGTTGTATTTATATTCGTCATCTTAAAAGTGCACTACTTAAAGCAGCACGTACGCTGTCAGATACCTCCCATTCCTTTCGCCTTATTCCGATAACCCGCAGCTTCTGTAGCTTTTCATGTTTTCTTAGAGCGTGAAAGCTGGTTCCACCTGTAACCTATGTTTCAGCAGCCTACAGCTCCACCTTTCATAATACAAAAGAATTAACTCTTCTGAATTATCCGCTCGTGGAGGGGCTTCACTCAGAAAAGGAAGGGCTGCAGCTGCATGCGGTTCTGGTCATGAGTGGTGGAGAGCTGTGACTGGCCTCATTTCCGTCTGTGCCCGGTTTGCCCAGGTCCACAGCTAGGGCTCCATATTATGTGCTAGCTGACAATTGGAGCACTGATTATTAAAGAAATATGCAATTGCCAGCTTTTTCACTTTCATTATCATTGCTTACCCAACATATGCTACAGATTCCGAGCCAATCTTGCCAGAGTCCAATTTTTTTGCGATAGACCGTTTTCAAAATTGTAAAGCTAGCTTTTATGCTATGCAGTTCGATAACTAATGGCTGCTTGTCATTTAGTGCAAACAGCCTGTTCAAATGCGGTTTGCTTATTCAATGACGTGGAAAATGTTGAGTCGCCTCTGTCGATATATACACTCATAATAGACAAGCCCCACCATGTTAAACTAGGACCGCGTGTCCACTAGAAGCACAACAGTTGCCGCCATTTGTTGTCCAAATATGCAGTGCAGAGAAGTGCACTTGCGAATTATGAAAAGGGTTCGTTGGCTTTTAAGTGTACACATTTCCTTCACCTCAGTTATTTTTAAGTTATAAAGTGTGTTATACGAGCTTATGTGCATTAAGTATAGTAATTTTTAAAATGTGACATATTATACCACTTGTAACCTGCACCCTGGTGTTATACAGTTGCTTCCACTTCACTTTGAACAAAAAAAACTACATTCACACATGCTTAGTTTAGTTCTAATTCTTAAAAAAAATATATTGGGCAAGCTAGTTGGGTTATGACATTTCTTAATGATATGTGATATTTACTATCCGAAGTGTTTAATTCAAAATTATATGACCAAATTACTATTCACTTTGGGTTCACTTTAAGCCGGAAACTTACTATTTGCCCATTCCTATATTTTTGTCTTTCCCTTTATTAATGCTACAGAATATTTAATGGCAAGGATGAGGGTGGCTTGACTGCTGCATCACGAGAGCATTTGTTTCTGACTAGACAAGCCCAGCTTATCTACGCTAGAAAAAGGGTCAAGCCTCTGAGTGCATTATAATAAGAATGACAGCTGTGGCAATCAAAATAATTTGAACGCGATAGCGTTAAAGAGCTCATTTTGCAGAAATTTTGGCGTCGGCATCGTTGGTTGTAAGTGAAAAATCATCATCTTATGCGGGACTGAAAAATCGAGAACTGTGCAAATAAAATAATTGAATGATAAAACATAAAAAATCTTGGAGCAGAGTGGGAACCGAATCAGGGTTGTTTGGGTTCAAGAGGGGATCGAACCCGGGTCGTTTGCTTGGCAAGCGGATGTTCTACCACACGGCCACGCCTCTGCTTGTGAAAATAGTGAAATAGCGTTCTCTGCTTGGAAATGCAGTGAAAGTAGCTTTCATGCTTCACAAACACATGCGTCCTGTATACACGCTTCACAATGCAACATGAAATATTGCAGTAATAATGCATGGTACAAGCGTCCATTGCCAATGGGCGTCAGAATATGTGATTGTCATAATGGCTCCGTGGTTGAAAGCCAGTACCGCACTACAAAAGGTACACACGCTACTGCACCTATTTTATGAAGTGGGTAGTGGGTGGATAGCAAATTCAAAAAGGTTTCATGCACTAAGTGTTTTAAAAAAGTACGCACTGCGAACAAGATGTCGCTATCACGTTCAACCCCCAAAGGCGAAACTTTAGGGTTCCTTAATTTTTTCTTGTATAATTATGTTACATTAGCAGTATTTATCTTAAACTGAATGGTTCTTAGGCTGAATATTATACGATTTAACCACTACACAATCCTGCATATTGCTTGAACTTTGTTTTGTAAGCTCTCGTGCATTATTCATTTATAGTTTTTGAAGGAGTATTGTGTTTGTTAGTGCAGTGCCATTTAGAATACCAGATTGACTTGTCTTGATGTCCACGTTGGTTACAGATACAGTAAAACCCCATTAATTCGGACTTCACTGGACCGGAGAGAATGTTTGAATTAACCGAGGGCACGAATTATCGCGAGTACGAACAAAACATTTGAAAAATGTCTCCTACACTATCAGACATTTAATTTCTTAAAAAATTCTGTGATGGCGGTTTGCTTCACCGACGCATTGTGCGACGAAATCACAAATTTGTGAAGTTCCTGCAGGTGGCTTACTCCGCACACACTGTCTGAGGAAAGCATGCCTATGTCCTCCAAAACAGCCAACGCATGCGCAGCCTCTGTCACAGTGTGACGTGGACGCTCGTCAGCATCACTTACGTCCTCGTGAGCCGATTCCCCTTCGGGGTCCAAGACTTCGGCGACGGTATCGCTGTTGGTCGCTGTGCCAGCCACGGCAACATCGCTGTCCATTGCGAAGTAATCCCTTAGGGGCACATCAGCTGGCATGATGCTCACATAGCGGCCGTCTTGCTCTTCGCCAGTTTCCTCATCGGCCACCACCCCCGGATCAGCAGCGTCGTGCATGAAGCCACTATGCCTAAAGCAGTTTGCGACTACTGCAGGCGGTGTGTTGATGCACGGGTCCCCCCTTAAACACGATTGTCTTGTCAGGCAGAGCCTTATAAAACAGCGCTGTCTCATCAGCGTTGAAAATGTTGCACGGCTCATAAGCAGAAAGGCCCAACCCCTTCGTGACTCGACCGCGGTCGGGCATTCGAATTAACTGAAGCATGGCCTAATTTGTGTGAATTAATGAGAGTTTTCAGTCATAGAACAATGTACATTTTGGACGGGACCAGACGCCGTGACTGAATTAACTCAAATCCCAAATTATCGGGGGTCGAATTAACGAGATTTTACTGTATTTGCAGCATCTTTCACTTTTTACAGCACTTTTGCTGTTTAATTAAAATATCTTATTTTTCATAAAATAAATATCGCTTTTCCCTTTTCAGAATGGTGTTACACCTCTTCATGTGGCTGCACATTACGACCATGTCAATGTGGCCCTCTTACTTTTAGAGAAAGGTGCCTCACCCCATTCGGCAGCACGAAATGGTACGTTGATTTAATCTCAGAATGTGCTAGTGGGTGGGAACATATCTCACTGAGAAAACAAGTTGAACGTTCATGCAATTTAAGTATAGATAGAAATTGCTGTTGTAGGTATGAAGAGATGAGAAAATCGGTGAAGTTTGCTGTTTTATTTTCCTTTCACTGTGAAAATGTCCAAGTGAAGAATTTCACAATTTTTTCATAATTCTACTTGCATTCATTATTATACTACAAATTTTATCTTCGAGTATTAAATGTGTTACTGTAGTTGCACAGAATAATCTCGGATTATTCAAAATCTCTTAGTCTGAATTTGTAAAACTGCCCAGTAGTCATTTTGAACTAAATTTCTTAAGAGTATCTGTCTTTCGTGAAAAAGTTGCATTGTATTGCATCTTGCACCAATGCGTCCCTGAAACAGTGAGGCAAGGAGACTGCCTACACTTGCACATGAGAAGACAGACCACATTGCTTCCAACTATCTTGGTTCGCATGGACTCTGTACCCATCATAGATTACCTGCAAAATAATGAGTGCAGACTGGCTGTGCACTCAGCTGCTATCACTGGTGTGCAAGGCGTACATGCGTATTAGCCCGTTGCCGCGTGCCGTATTGTATTGCTTTCTATCTGTGCATGGAACGTCCCCCGTCTTGTCTGTGTGCCACAGCGGGGTTCACGCTGTGCGAGTGTAGAGACATCGCAGCTGATTAGCACACAGCGAGCGAAGGTCACAAAACTGCCCTGTCTCAACCGACGCAGGCAGTTTCAAAAAGCCCAACCACGTGCATGCTATTTTCGAGCCATGATGACAGAATTTGCTGTCGCGAAGGGTCATTCATCGCTATCGCTTCGCAGGTTTCTAGAAAACCAGTAAAAATTGCTGGTCGTCTATAAAAGATCGTGAAAATTTTTGCAACACGAGAGCACCCCCGATTCTCGCTTCGCTGGTTATCCGTGTGTGGAGGAACTTCTCATGTAAAAGCGATGCGGCGGCCGTATTTTGTCGTTGATCTTGTTATGAATGGTTTGTTTTGATGCTTCAGGGCTAGCTTGCTGTAATGTTGGTTACTTGCTACAATGTTAACGGTGTCGTCACGGTCGTCATGCGAGGTTGCTGCGAAGTTGGCAAAGTGCGTCATTGCGTCGTAGTGCATGCTATTGGGCGCCCGTCGAGATCACAGCAGATACCACTGTTGCGGTTAAACGATTGCGACGCTTTTATGGCGTGCACGGGCTGCCCGGGGACAGCTTGCAGAAGATAGCGCCATCAACCATTGAAGATAAGTAAAGTGGAACAAAGAAGCTATTTCCAAACCGTGTATGCATATGTCAATTGTGAAAGGCTAAGTGACCTAACTTTTTATTTGCATTACCAAATTTTTGCTCCTCCCAAAAAAGTTTTCATAAAGTTTACCCCGCATAATAAATCCACCCCTCAATTTTGCTCCGATTTCTCGAGGAAAAAAAGTGCGTTTATTACGCAAGTAAATACGGTACCGTGCACCAACTAGCCCAAGAATGTATTTTAGCCATGATAGCTTTGTTAGTTTGAATTGATGACAACATTGAAGCCTTTAGGTATCTGCCAGGGAATAGAAATTATCTTGTTAGATCGGTAAATTCTTATAATCGTGCTTTGTTAGTTTGGTTTTAACTGTAGTTTGGTAGGACTTCATGCGCGGATCTTTCTGTAGTCTTCTGTTTGTTCTGTCTGAAATACTGTTTGGCTCAAGTAGAGTTGTTTTAATTCCTTTTTGATAATTTGTATATATATCACCTCACCTTCTGTGCTTTCTCAGGGTATACACCACTGCACGTAGCAGCACGCAAGGACCAGATGGACATAGCCAGCAGCCTTTTGGAGTACGGAGCCAAGCCGGGAGCTGAGTCACGGGCGGGCTTCACACCTCTGCACTTGGCAGCTCAAGAAGGCCATGCCGACCTGGCTGCGTTGCTGGTTGAGCATGGAGCTGACTGTGATGCCAAGGCCAAGGTCTGTCTAAGATGGGGATAAATGCATTATTTTCATATGACCTGCAACTTATTGCTTTCAAACGTATTGTATGTTATTGCATTTTTCTTAACTGCTGTGAATAGTTTAATTAAATTTCATGTATTTTACTGGTAATGGAGAGAGAGGCACATTATTGCTTGTGCTTTGATAATGTTTCTTAAAGGCATGAACACACTAGCGGGAAAATGTGGCACATTACTGGCAGCAAAATGCAATCCTCCAGAGGTGCTGCACTGCACCATTCTTGTGCCACAAGGGAGATGGGCCCATCTGTGGTTTCTCGCAGTGCGTTGCATATCACTTTTAGAAGAGAGGAGCATGCTGATTTCAGATGTGGTGCGGTCGCTCTGCTGCAGCAGCATTTCTCCTCTGGTAGCGTGACACACGCATTAATTCAGCCAGTGTGTTAGTGTCTCAAAAGTGGCGCTATTCAATTTAAAGAGGCAGACTGGTCTAAGACACTTTTTTTATTTCTTCAGTGATCTTGATCAAACTGCACAGGATTATGCAGTTTTTTTCTGCTGATTTCAAATATTTATTTAGTTTTCCTGTAACTCATCTTGTTCCTGAGATAACTGAAGTTCACCTCCTATTGTTTAAGGTTGCCATGGAAAAATGCCTAATTAAAAGTAATATTTAAGATATGCCAACATAGACTAATGACTATAGATTGAAAGTATACAAGAGATTTTTTTGTTTTTAGGCTTTTCTTGGTTATTTGACAGCAAAATGAACTATCCATTTTCAAAAGCAGTTGGAATTGTGTTATAATTTTGATGAGTAATTAATTAAAAAGGTTTGTGCTTTAAATTCTGCTCCCATGCTTGCATTCTACACACATACAGGTTTTCATTGCAAAAAGAATTATTGTACTTGCTCTAGCTGCAGAGATATTGAGGCCTCATTCTTGAACAGTTGTAAATTTACTTTTTTGAGAAAAATGGAAAAAAACTGAAAACGGCTTCTTCAAAAAGCAACAATCATGGTGCGCATGTTTTGCAGTCCTCATAAAGCTGCTCATAAATTCGTAGCAGAGCTTCTAACACAGGTGCCAGCAAATTATAAAGAAGCCTCGTAGTCAGTTCCCCATTTTTTTGCTGGTTCTGCATGTTAACAGCACCAAAAATCGGGACAGTTAGAATGACATTACAAAAAAATTATCACTACCTGGTGTGTGAAAATTTGCAGAGAGATAGACAAATATGTCAATTTTAAAACATGAATTTTTTTGTCACTTTTGGTCCCAAAGACCAGCCTGCCCCCTTAATTTTCTTGAAATAGGGTTGCATTTGCCTTTCTTAAAGTGAGGCAGCATTTGTCTCAACTGCTATTTCTGCATGAAAAAAATAAGGTAACTGTGTGCCTGGTTAGTTTATTGTGCTTTTGTCATAGTTAAATCTGAGAGAAGCCCCAGTAATGTGTTCTAAAAGTACCTAAATTGGTATGCTAAACAATTAATCACAGTATTGTGTTCAAAATAGATAGACACTGCTTGAATGCATGCAATTAAGATCGTAGGTAAAGAATGAACGTAACAAGCCCACAAGTTCTATCCAGTTCACCCTGGCCAACAAAATTGATTAAATTATTCTACAGTTGAATGAAACGAGTGCCAGAAAAATCATTTTAGAAAAATGTAAAAATGCAGAGATCTAATGCACAGACAATTTTTTTTTAGCTTGGAAAGTGTAACATGCCCTCAGTTTTGTCTATAAAAAAGGTAACACTGTCGAACTTGTCACAAGAGAACAGCAAGTTATTTGTTTTTAATGACCATTGTTATTCTAAGACACCACTTATCACTGCCTGAGAAGCCTTGATATCCCTTCTTCATCAGACGATTCCAGAACCATTGCAAACACAATGGTGCTCACGTTTAGACTAACCACTTCACTTCTGTATCATGCAACTCATTGTCAGTTACTTAACGTGACTGAAACCATACTGAATACTGGAGGGGGCATTGGCATGTCTTTTGTGAAGAATTGCTTTGCCAGTGTCTTCTGTTGGCAATTTTGAGGACGCAAGCTAAGGTGGCTCTGACGTTTGGCTGTTGCAAACACTGTAAACATGTATGCTTTCTGTTGGCCCAAAAAAATACAAAATTAAGGCTGATTACATGAAACAGATACATACCAAGTTGTACCTTCTTCATACAGTCCTGGTTGGAATACAGCATAACTGCACAATAAATAATTGTACTACAGTCGAAACCCGCAATAACGAAACCCCGCAAGTACGATATCCCCGCTGCAAAGAAATATTTCCGAATCCCCGGCGAATGTTCATAGAAGCCCATGTATTACGTATCTCGTGGCAACGAAGTGTTTTTGCACAGCGATCTCACATTAACGAATTTTCTACCACGGTGCGGGCCTTATTTTACCCTCCCGCCAAAGGTTAACCGTCGAAAATATGCTTGTATGCGTGTTATGCGCACTCAAAATTTATAAACGTCTGCTGTTGCCGCGCTAGCGTGGGTACCGCCATTTTTGTTTACTTCAGGGGGGACGCGGCTTTGGGATTGCGAAAAATGGCAAAAAAATCGATTTTTTGAAAATCAAGTTTTTTAGTTTCTGGAACCCTTTTTATATCTGATTCCAAAATATCTACACTGAAAACCGCACAGAAGTGCTTTGGAAAATTCATTTCACCCACCTAGGTAGCGGAACTTTTTTCTGGAAATCGCGAGAAAACAGCCATTTTAAAAAATTATGGCTTCGCGATGGCGGGGCCAGGAGCCGGCTTCTTGGGCTCATTGGAAAGAGCATTTCTCCGCATTTAACTTTCCCACCTCAGCTGGCTCCTCCCTTTAAAAACAAGTGCACAAAAAGCAAATGTTTGAAGGTCGTTTCGAGGCGTTTGATTGGCTGTGGCCGCCATGTTGCCTCAGCTTGCCTCCCCATTGGCCTGATGCTCGCTCCGGGAGATCATTGTCTGCTGCTTGTGCGTCGCGAGGACATGGCTCTCGAAAATTGCTACTTCGTGGCGTGTTCACGGCTCGATGATCACTTAAGATATAATTACGCTTTAGTTCGAAGCAGTAGGCGGATGCGCGATCAGGTTGCTACGAGCGCGGCGCGTCATCGGAGTCGTCTTTAGCCCTCACTCCGCCGACAGCGAGACTGCGGGCAGGAACGACGCTCTAGCGCACTCGTGCCGACGTGCTTCGTCGCAAGCAACGAAACTGTAAGCGGCGGCACGGTCAGATTACTACGAGTGGCCGCACCGGATGGACGATAAGATTACTACGAGCGAGCCTGTGGTCTACGAACCCCACGCATCATCGGAGTTGGCTTTAGCCCTAACTCCGATGACAGCGAGACTGCGGGCAGGAAAACGATGCGCTAGCACATCCAAAACAACCCGCGGGTTGTTTGGATGCGCTAGCGCGTCGTTCCTGTCCGCAGGAAGCTCTCCCTTCGCACTTTTTCCTGTGCGAAAGGAGAGCTTTGAAGTTGTTGCATGCCAAGGGTCGGCAAAGTAAGTTGACAGACTTCTGGCAATAAATTTTGGTTCTGATGGCTGTATAACTGTTTTTATGTCTCATACTAGCGGCAACGAAATTCTCGTGAAAACGAAATTTTTCGGTTTCCCCGGCGATTTCGTTATTGCGGGTTTCGACTGTATACAGTAAAAGCTTGTCAATGCATACCTGCTAAGGATGTGGCACAATTATGCAGGAAATGGTAATACACAGTAACCATTACATACCGATTGGCATTATTCTGATGTGCGCCACCATTACAAACAATGAAAAAAAATGTCAAGCCTATACAAACAGAGGGTACAGTCATAGCAAAAGCTGGAAGAGTGGCCTTTACTGAACCCCTTGTTAACTTTTTTGGGGCAACTAATAAAAGTATTCTTGCAAAATAGTCACTATGCCATAAATCATCATACTTTGTGACGGCCCTCTTAACGGGGCCAGGCCCCTTATCAGGAGTGAGAAAAGCATGCCACAAAAATTTTTACCCGCTCATTGCATCACATACTGCACATTTAAAGGGGCCCTGCGGCACTTTTTGAGCATCGTCAGAAAACGCTGCTGATCGGTACTGGAGGCTCCCAAGAACACATCAGCCAAATATTATAGCGCAGTACGCGACCTGGAATTCACTCTCTTCTCTCAACAAATGTTGGAAGACGGTCAAAAATTACTCGTAGAAGGCCATCGATCAGCCATTGGCTGATTTGAAGATGGCGCTCTTGGTCGTTACAGGGATCGCCTCGAGAGACCGTGATTTGTCCACGCGTGTACAAGCGATCACACTGGAAAAGCTGTGTACTTGAAGAAAAAAAAGTGCTCAAGGTCACGAGGCGTGCATGACATATTTCCTTTCCCCTGCCATCCCCCCCCTTGCTTGGCTTCCAGTGCTTTCGTCGGGATGAGAGAACAGAGAATGTGTTTGCAGCATGCAACAAATCTTTGTAACTCCGCTCATACTGGACGGATTCTTAAAATTTTTGAGGCGTTGAATTCGTGAGGCAATAAGCTCTTTTAGTGAATCCATTTCATGGTTACTTGAAAAATTGTTTCAGGGCCCCTTTAACTTGTGAACAAGAAATATGTTCAGGTTCCTCAACTTCAACTAATTGTTATAATATGGTCATTGAACATAATTTTAATTTGGAGAACTGTGTTGTATAGTGTGTGCTATAAAATGCACTGATATTTGTGCCCCATATGCCTGTGATCAATATCACCCACTCATCGTCTTATCACTTCTGAGGTCTATTCGCACATCTCAGAAGCCATGCACATCTAAGTTTGGCCTGCTTGAAAAGTTGTCTTTATGCTTTAGTGGTAGCTATCACTCTTTTGCTGTTGGCACCCCTTGTTGCTTTAATTCAGTGATTCTCAGCCATGGATGTGTCGGGGACCCCTTGTGGGCTGGTGGAAGGGATGGGGGACCCGTTGCAGCGGAGGCGAGGGAGGGGGATAAGTTGGCAAATTAACACAACTGGAGTGTGAAACAGGTGCCTTTTATTGCTACCAAAAACATCAAACAAACGTGCCACATCACTTCATTTTGGAAAGTTCATCAATACATGGCACATCACACAGTTGCACTTAAACAGAGTTTCATACGTAAAAAAATAATAAAAATGGAAAGAAAAGCGGGCGAGTGTTTTGTGGATCTTAGAAATGGCTTCACGGACTCCCTATGGTCCGACCCCCATGTGAGAACCACTGCTTTAATTTATTGCTTTGGTCTTGCTTAGTGACAGGAGTGAGGCTTTAGGAAATTGTTTTTGCAGATAAGAAGGCTTCATGGCATTAAGGGTAAAAATGTTTTCTACTGATATAGAAGTACTAATATATATATATATATATATATATAATAAATGAGGTAGTTTTCTTTATTGAAAATTTTGTTACATTAAAGTTTGTTTATTTTAAGTGTATGCAATTTACTTGACTGAATTAAGAAGTTTCAAGTTGCATTGAAAACACACTAGGCCTACCAATATTCTGGATATTATATCCCATTCATTGAAAGTTCTAGCTATCCAGTGGTGCCAATCTATTGTTGGTCCATTTTGGTAGTGCACTATAATATACTAGCAGCTTGTCAATTATGCTGTCTGTCTTTTTTTTTTATGTGATTGCAGAATGGGCTGACACCTATGCACCTGTGCGCTCAAGAGGACAGGGTGGAAGTGGCAACTATTCTGGCTAAGCATGGTGCCTCTCTGGATCCAACAACCAAGGCTGGCTATACTCCTTTGCATGTGGCATGTCATTTTGGACAGACCAACATGATTCGCTTTCTGCTGCGTCAAGGTGCCAACGTGAATGCCACAACATCAGTAAGCTGTCATGTATTCTTATCTCAGTGGGAGTAATTTTTATACTATTTTACAGACTTTCCACTTGCTTGTTGTGTTAATGATCTTGAAGCAAAACTTTTATAAGTCCCAGTGACTTTCTTCTTTAGCCAGTAAACACGCTGAGTGCGTTTGAAGGCTAACTTGTCAGTGTGCAGTGCTGTACAATGAAGCCCACTTACAGAACATCACTATGACAAAGTTGGACATTTATAATATCTTAACAATGAAATTGGGTTGTGGTATACACTCCATGCACTGCGACTGGCGCACCGCTGCACGGCCGTCAGAGCAGACAGTTATTGAGAGCCACGCAGAATCAAACGCTCTCCCAACGCCCGCTAGCACGCAGTTTATCGGAATCATGAACTGCAGCGTAGTCTATCGTACTGTGGCGACCACTGCGCACAGACCTGCACAGCCTCCGTCTCATCGCTGGCTAGCCCGGCGTGACACGGCACTGACCTCTATTAAAAAGGCTGGTCGATGCATCCCTGTTCTCTAATGCAGGTGCTTGTGAAGCCCCCAAAAAGTCCCTTCACTGTCCCGGAAGCTAGTATCTTCTGGGCAATTTAGGCGTGTAATTTATATATTATCTGGTGGCAGTTGTGGTCATAATTTTTGTGTTTTCTTTTTATAATATAATATTCTTGCAGTCATCCAACACTACATGAAAAATGACAGACGTAGCGACACCGTCCAAAACAAGGGGGTGCTGTGATCTACAACTAGTGCATGCAACAAACCCTACGATTAGGCATCAGTTGGAATGCCGACTAACGTTACACGAAAAGACGCCGTAGCGGCAGCGTTCGAATATAGTGCAGTGCTGTTATGTACAACGTTACAATTACTCATTAGTCAGGTGACACAGAAAAAAATTGTCACGGCATTTTTTTTTTTTACAAAAAACGAATGAGTGCAATGGTAGCCAAGAGTGCAAAGCTTTGTCTTTTGTGAGTGATCCGGGAAAGAAAACAACATTGGAATGACATCATTTCGAAAATGAGTTTTTAGAACCAAGGGGTCGAAACATCACTCTGAAAAATGGTCATTGAAAAGTCTGCTTCCTGGAAACGGTGTTCAGTTGTCCCTCTTTAAGTTACTGACCCACTTCTCGTATATTTAAGGCCTCACTTAAATGCCGCCCAACTACCACAATTTTCTGGCAAAATGCATAAAAAGGAATATAATTTTGAGGTTCTTAAGCGTAAAATGTCTTCACGATTACATTTCCGGTCGATTCGTGAAGTTTACTGCTCTACAGCCCGGCATTTCATTAAATAGAAGGGAAAAGCTCTCGCTACTAGCAGCAGGCGACATTTCATGGTGATGGCTTCCGGGATTCCAACGGCGTCTTCTGGTGGCTTCAATCACGTGTGCTCGATGCGCTATCCGGCTCTCCCTAGTAGAAATCAGTGTGACAAGGCCACTTGCTGCAACAGGCTTCGGATAAGAGACTGCGCTGCCGCAGTTTCACCGAAGGCTTACGTCACCACTGGTGCCTATAAAACTTAAGCTGTCAAGCTCGGTTATCTCTTCGTTTCTTTAGCTGTTCCAAGCACAGTGCCGGCATACTTGCCCCACTGCTGCTACCCTGTTAATAAACGTTAATTTTCTTGTTGGGATGAGTCCTTCGATCGACACGGCATTTCACATCCGGTGACCCGGAATCCGAATGCAACGCAACACCATGGACAAGCAAGAGGCTCTCCAACAACGGCTTGCACTACTACAGAGGCAGCTGCACACTGAGCATGAGCTCATCCAGAAACAAGGTCTACATCTGAAAGAAGTCCCCATTCCAGGGTTGGCAAGAACAATCTGCTGCAACATGTTGACAGGAAGAAGCAGGCCCCATGTGTCACTGTCCCATCGCCATGGTCTTTTCAACCAGATCCACAACCTTAGCCATTCCGGAATGCGCCGCCTCTACATGCCTCATGGCTGACCACTGCGTCTGGCCCTCCCTGCAGCGGGATTGTCGCACGTGAGTGCGCTCCTGCATTCACTACCATCGCACTAAAATCACCAGGCACGTCGCCACTCAGAAGATTCCTTCAGCCCTCAGGGCTCTTCAAGCACGTCCACCTTGACATCATAAGACCACTTTCCTCGGCTGGACCTTACCGCTGCTGCCTCGCCACCATCAATCGGTACGCTCGATGGGTCGAGGCATGCCCCCTCGAGGGAATCACCGCGGAAGACGTCGCTGCGGCCTTCTTTTCTGGCTGGATTCTTTGTTTCGGCACCAATCACTCTGCTACGACGAACTAGCGACCTGGACGTTCACATCGATGGCCACAGCGTCACAGCTCTCGTCGATACTGGAACGGACTATTCTATCATCAGTGGGACATTTGCCGTGAAGTTGAAGAAAGTTAGAACTGCTTGGGAAGGCCCTGAAATTCATACAGCCGAAGGTCACCTAGTAACACCGGCAGGAATCTGCACAGCCAGAGTCACCATTAACAGCCAGATTTATTCTGCAAGCTTCGTCGTGCGACAGCATTGCTCGAGAGATGTCATTCTTGGTATGGACTTTTTGAGCCTCCATGACGTGCTCATTGACCTGAGAACAAAGTTGATTACACTATCCCCAGAAAAAGCACTACCACCATACACGCCATCAGAAATACACGGCCTGAATGTCGTGGAAAAACAAGTGACCGTTCCTTCTCACTCAAGCGTCATCATTTCCATCGGCACCCCGAAACTAGAAGACTTTGAAGGCATCGTTGAAGGCAATCAGCACCTGTTAGTCAACAGCGGTATTTGCATCGCAAAAGCAATCACCGAGCTGCATGGAAGGAAAGCAACAGTTATGCTCATGAATTTCAGCAATGAGTACAAATAGGTGAACAAAGGCACGATGGTCGCATACATCAAGGACATTGAGGAACCAAGCCTCTCACTCAGCTTTTGACGTGAATCCGAGCCTTCTAAAGCATAAGCAAGAACATCCGAAAACCTTGCTCCTGCAATACAAGGATTGCTTTTCGTTGTAAAAAAATCGGCAGACCCCAGTCGCCAAACATCGCATCATGACAGGGGGAAATACCAGACCCCTTCAGAGTTCGTACAGGGTTTCGATGCGAGAACATTGGGCCGTAAAGAGACAAGTTGATGAAATCCTACGTGTCGACATCATCCAGCCGTCCAAGTGTTTGTGGGCGTCCCCGGCGGTGTTAGTGAAAAAGAAGGATGGAATCCTACGTTTCTGCGCCCATTTTCACTACCTGAGCAAAATCACAAAAAGGGCGTGTATCTTCTCCCACGTATAGACGATGTCCTGTATCGCCTCCACAACGCGAAGTATTTTCGTTGATGGACCTCAAGTCTGGGTATTGGCAAATCGAAGTCGACAAGAGAGACCGAGAGAAGACTGCGTTTATGACACCAGACGGCCTCTTCGAATACAAGGTCATGCCTTTAGGTCTTTGCTCGGCACCTGCGACTTTTCAGAGTGTTATGGATACAGTACTAGCAGGATTGAAGTGGCAGACTTGCCTTGTATACTTGGACAACGTCCTCGTGTTTTTCTTGAGCTTCGACAAGCATCTCCGGTGCCTTGAAGAAGTACTTCAAGCTATCAAGACCTCCGGGCTAACCCTGAAGCTAGAAAAGTGTCGATTCGTGTACGAGAAGCTCTTGTTCCTTGGACACGTGATTAGCACGACTGTAGTCCATCCCGACTTGTGGAAAATAGCTGCCATCGTCGAGTTGCCGTCTCCCATCGACAAAAAGGCAGTGCGCTGATTTCTTGGCCTGTGCGCCTATTACAGGAGGTTTGTCAAAAACTTTGCTCACATTTCTGAGCCACTCACTAGTCTTACCAGGACTGACGTGGAGTTCAAGTAGCAAACGCTGCAGGAGGAGGCATTTCAGGAACTAAAACGGCGCCTACAGAAGCCCCCGTTACTTGAGCATTTCGATGAATTTGCGGAGACAGAAATAAATATCGACACAAGCAGTGTAGGACTCTGCGCCGTTCTTGTGTAGGGGACTGATGAACTGGAAAGGGTATTATTAGTTACGCGAGTCGGTCACTATTTAAGGCAGAAGCCAAATATTCCACAACAGAAAAGGAGTGCCTTAACATCATCTGGGCTACGTCAAAGTTTTGCCCCTACCTCTATGGCAGACCCTTCAATGTTGTAGGCGATCACCATGCCTTGTGCGGCGGATGCGCCGCACAAGGCATGGTGGACGCGCCGCACAAGGCATGGTGGTCTTCGTGCGGCGGACGCACAATACTACATAACTGCCGACAACTTCGCTGAACGACAGCGAGCTGAACCGGAACTTAGGGGCCTAATCGAATACCTCGAAGGCAGGACCTCCGTTGTTCCGAAGGCATTCAAGCGGGCACTTACTTCGTTTTCGCTGCGAAAAGGCTTTCTCCAAAAGAAGAACTTCTCGCTGCTTCGAGCCAAGTACCTTCTTGTGGTGCCTTCAGCTCTGTGATCAGAACTCCTCAAGGCCCTGCAGGATGATCAGATGGCAGGATACCTTGGTGGTTCTTGCACGCTCGCGAGGATACAAGAAAAGTACTACTGGCCACATACAAGAAAAGTACTACTGGCCACATCTTACCGCCGACGTCAACTTTTTACGTGACGACATGCCGAGACTGTCAATGACGGAAGACACCGCTCTCAAGATCAGCAGGCTTTCTCCAGCCACGCGACCCAACCCAGCGACCGTTCCAGCAGATCGGGATGGACCTCCTGGGGCCGTTCCTAATGTTGACTTGCGACAATAAGTGGATCGTCGCAGCTATTGACTACCTCACTCGCTATGCCAAAACAAGAGCCCTGCCCAAAGGTTGTGCCGCCAAGGTAGCCAAGTTCTTCGTTGAGAACATCGTCCTTCCACATGGCACCCCAGAGGTTCTCATCACTGACAGAGGTACGGCGTTTACAACTGACCTCACTCAGGCAATCCTGAGATACAGCCAGACAAGTCACCGCCGTACAACCGCGTGCCACCCACAAACCAATGGCGTGACCCAGTGTCTAAATAAGACCATCGCCGACATGCTGGTCATGTACGTCGACGTCGAACACAAGACATGGGATGCCATGCTTCCGTACGTGATCTTCACGTACAACATTGCCATACAAGAAATGATGCAGATGATGCCGTACAAGTTGGTCTACGGAAGGATTCGGTAATGACGCTCGACGCCGTGTTCCCCAATGTCACCGACGAAGAAAACCGCAATGTGAGCAAATACTTTCACTGCGCCGAAGAAGCCTGACAACTCTCCCACCTCCGCATCAAGAACCAACAGACGATTGACAGCCGCGATTAGTCTTCGATGACGCTTTCTGGATTACCAGCCCGGTAAATGTATTTGGGTATAGACGTCAATATGTCGATGTGGACTCAGTGAAAAACTTCTGCGACGCTACTTCGGGCAATACAGGGTAGTTGGATGTCTCGGCCCACTCGACTATGAGGAAGTTCTCCCCGAGGGCATCACGAACTCTCAACAGCACTGATTGCGACCTGCCATGTCGCGTGCCTCAGGCCGTTTCATGCACGTCAACGAACAGAAAGAGTGTATTTTGCTTTTGTTGTTATTGCTGTATTTTTATTTATTGCTTGTACTTTCCTGCATTATTATTGTACTTTCATCTTGTGTTAAAGCTTCGGGACAATGCCTTTTTCAGAGGGGGGCAATGCCACGTTCTTTCCTCAAGTTTTGTTATCACTCCATTGCACTGTGCGTAATTCAAAGCGCGAACTGCACCTGCAGTGCAGTCCCGCTTTGGGACTGTAGTAGATCATTTCGTTAAGATTACGCCCACTTTGCAAACATTATAGATTATTCTAGAGTTTACGTGGCCGCTAGCGATAACGCTAGAATATTAGACGACACGTGTATAAATGCCGACGCGCTTAACCGCTTGTCAGTTGATCGCTGGCTGACACTCTTTTTTCCCGCTATCAGTGCCAGTGTGTTGGTGTAATCTGACTTCCTTTTTACGGGGCCACAAGTTTGGTTTAATAAACAATTCAACTTGAACGCCCAGTCTATTCCCTTCGTTCATGTTGCGACCCCGTGACAATATCATTTACAAAATGTGGGTACCCTTGTTTGGTTTCTGTTGATTATACCATGTCAACTGTATCATTTTTGATCCCTTGCATGCTTCACTGTTCAATTATGTTCTACATTTTTTGCATGTGTAGACACTTCACAATTAGGTATGAATTAGATAGGTTTGAATAAGAGTACTATAGTACACTCTTGTTAAATGAGCCTTGAAGGAACCAAGGGAATATGTTATGTTTGACGGGAGTTATAGTTGCTGAGAGATGAACAGGGTTGTGTTTTTCATATACGAAACCAGTCATATTAGGACGGTTTTACATATAAGCAGCAATTCCATTTGAGAGATTTCTGTTTACTAAAAATTTACTGTATGACTACATTGCATCTTATTCTTTTTTTTTTCAAGTAAATGGTATTCTTTGCTAATGCTTCCAGGGCATGATCCTGGAAGAGTGAAAAGTGTTTATTTAATATAGGACTGCTTCTGTGTTATAGAGGCGTGCTTTCGTGATACTTAGTCGTAATGCTTTTTTTCAAACAGCATGGCTACACGCCCCTGCACCAGGCAGCTCAGCAAGGGCATACACTTATCATCAACCTGCTGCTTGAACACAGAGCAGCTCCTAATGCCATTACCAATGTAAGTTGGCGATTTCCTTTTGTAAAGTCTCATTTTAACTCTTTCATGCGCAGCTTCATTTTTGGTGGGAAAAAGTTTTTTATTGAAAAAATGGCGAAAGCTTTTGCAGAAAATGATTTTCTCGCAAGAAACAAAAATTTGCTAATTTAAGTTCAAAAGATAGGTGGTCACGTGGGATGACTACCATGCCGTAAGGGTCTAGTGGTCACTTTCGGTGAAGTACAGTTCTTCATTTCCACAGTCCTTAGCGTTAGCTACTGATGCTTTCCTGCACTGTCAACATAGTAGGAACAGCGCCTACTTATATATCTATAAAAATACTTTGGGTCTACTGTCTAGCACGCCTTGAGGATAACGGAAGTCGGAAGAAAGCAAACGTAACATGTCACATTGAAGTCCAAACGAAGCAGCGTCATCACTGTCAGATTGCCAAATGCTTTAAAATACTATAGGGAACGTGCACTGTGCAGGGGGCGCCGCTGCATTGGAGGGGACGAAACAAAGTGGCGTGATAGGTGCAGCAGCCGCTCGACGCGCCGAGCCGTGTCACGCTGGTGGAGAAGCTTTACAATGTCGCGCATCAATTTCTGCGTTGTCAACTGCACTAATACTTACGAAAAATGTCCACCTGGGACAACGTTTTCGGGGCATCAATGCCTCCTAGGCCAGCGGGAACGGTGGATTCGCAACTTACGCCATGTGGAGTATAAGTGATCCTGTGCATGGTTATGGAGTTCATGTTGTAGCCAGTTCGCTCTGAATTTACGCTCCATGCTAGTGAATCAGTATTTTTACAATGGAAATGGAATCGAGTGACAGCCGGGAAAGTGGTCTCGGGTCTGCAGTGCATGTTTTGTTGACGGAAAGTCATTGATGGATCCAGCTTTTACCTCAAACGCTCCCGCTATTTTCCCGCCAACGTACCGCAAAACTTCGGCGATCCTTGAGGCTTTACGTGCGTTGTTGCTATGCGGACTGTAGTTCAGTGAGTTTAATAGTAGTTCAGTGAGTTTAATAAGTGCATAAAAGCGAGCATTATTCAGTCACGCTCATTTTCAGGTAAAAAGTGTTACTCGCATGCCCTACACATAATCAGACAGCGTAGTTCGTAAAACGGCCACAGTAAGAAACAGGAAGTGTCGGATGCGTGGAAAAATGCACAGAGGACCGCATAAATCTTTTCATACAACTGTATTGCATTTGCCCCTTGACAGTGCTGCGCATGCAAACGGTGCCACACTACGCTGTTTTAATGCATGATGGCTAAGATATCACTTGCAAAGATGATACGTAACAAGTTTACTTAATCGCTCATATAGCCCGAGCAGCGTCCATAAACGGAACTACAACATAGTAAGATTCGCACAATCGTTACGGCAATACTAAATGCAAGACGGGGGGTGATTGTACTTGTATGTACTAGCGCCAATCACACTGGGTTTCCCTAAAGACAACATCACACTACATCACATGTCTCACGTTAATGTCACCGTGTGCTTGGTAATAAGTAGGTAAAATGATGAAAAGTGTTCGCACAAACTTCTACGATGACGGTTTAAGCTTCCTGTTTCACATAGGCTTGTCGCACACGGCCACACACTACTCTTTCAAAATACTCTGTCCGACCGTGGTCTCTTCAGTCGCGTTGAAAATGTGCCTGCTGCTGGATAATTTTTCTCCCTTTTCTTCGTTCGAGGTTCTAAAAAACCCTGCGCACCCCTCACTTTCTTGAAGCCGGCGCGCGCGCGCACGCACGTCTGCGAAACACGGGCGCAGCAAAAGGGGAGACGAGAATTCGTCGCACGTCAGTTAACAACTCAGTGACCACTCGCGGTGCATACAGCGGGCTGGCGCACTGCATTGGCGCGCCACCTGTAGGTTCCGCACGTTCTCCATATGCAGTCCGACACGCGGAGCTCACATGTTTCGAGAGGGAAAAAAAAATAAAAAAAAAGGTGGCTACCTGCAGTGACCACCATGCTGGAAAGAGTTTGAAGCTTCTATAGTTAATAACACAGTGTTAATGTTTTTATTAAAATTTTGACTTTCAAAAGTTGGTGCTGTGTGGTGTTATGACTAGGAGTGTCTGCATGGTGGTGGGCATTAAGAAACTCATTGGTAGTTGGGGTAACTTATCAAACTGCTAGGACAGTTTTGGGAAAAATGTCACATTGTGGTTTACAATATTCTTGAACTATGTTTCTATGAAAGTTTCTAATTTTGGCAATCAGTTTTAGTAAAAGGTAATATGCTAAGTCTTTTTGACATGGGGAGAAGGTGGGTCAGTGATGTGGGAGAAGCTGTTTATTGCTTAATATATCTCGAAACTAACTGAAACATTTTATGTTTCAATAGTGGGCCAACTGTAAAAAAGTTATTCCTGATTGACTATGCTATCGCAGTACACTCTTAGATGTGAAGCTTCGCCGGACTCCAAGATTTTTGTTTTTGAAATAAGTATGAATGGCATAAAATTTACATGATTCCTTGATGTATGTGATCGTTTATGTATTTAAGACTCGAATATTTATGGCTGATGTTAGTAATAAATAAGTGACGTTACCCACTCTACCTCTGAGGAAGCTGCAGCAAAGTACATGTACTAGTAAAAATGTCCAAAAGGACTTATGTAGTGGCACTGGCCTTAAGACAGGAAAAGGTTCTTGTTTATTGTGTAATTGTTTAACATTATTAAGCCTCCACTGCTATAGTAGTAGCCTCGTAAGCTGTAAAAGCTTGAACAAGGATCCTCACCAATATTAACGGGACAACCTATTCAGTCTTGTTCTTGTTATAACGAATGGTCAATGTCACCATTTGCTATTAAAAAGACTATAAAGCACCAGAAATTAACTACCCCTGCATTGTTGTTGCCATGTGAGTTGCACTGCTTGAAGTCACCATTAAAAAGTAAATAATGAATAGTATAAAATAAATAATGTTTAGCCCGTTACTGCTGTCGCTTATTTACTGGTTGCTTATACCAGAAACAGGAAGAAGGTGTTAAATTCATGCATATCAGCATATCAAGAGGGTTTAGTTTTTATTTATAATTTCATTTTGTGCTGATTATAATTTTAATCTTCTTGCAGCAAGGGCAAACTGCACTGGCTATAGCACAGCGTTTAGGCTACATATCTGTGGTGGAAACGCTGAAGGTAGTGACCGAAACCATCGTGACCACTACTACAACAACTGTGACAGAGGAAAAGTATCGTGTGGTTGCCCCAGAAACTATGCATGAAACCTTCATGAGCGACTCTGAAGATGAAGCTGGTAAGTAATGATAACTATGTCTAGTAAATATTCTCATGGGAGATTCTTAAAATTGCTCATAAGGTTACGATTCCTGCTAATTTATTTTTACATTGTTCATGTAAGAGATACGGTATACAGCACCACATTGTGTAATATAGAAAAATTTGAATTTTAAGGTAATAATATTCTAAAAGCACAGTGTCCAGAGATGTCTAATAACTAGGCTTGTGAGATTACACTTGAATGATTAGTAGAGTATTTGAATTCGCTTTGATTCAAATTTAACTTACTGAAAATTTTGAAATATTCGCAAGGAACGAATAAATGCATATCAATTCGAATGTACGGCTTGTAAAGATGGTTTCACTGCAGTGTATGAGTGCTGAACCGTGAAAGCACGTGCCCAGGAAAAATATGCTCTGCTGCGAAGCCCCTCTACAAATTTAAAGGGGCCCTGCAACACTTTTTGGGCATTGTCAGAAAACGCTGCCGATTGGTAATCGAAGCTACCGAGGACACAGAATCCAAAAATATAGCATAGCACGCGGCGTGCGATTCACAAGAAATTCTCAAAGTCAGCTGAAAATTGCTGTCTTCTCTCGGCAACTGACTTCACATGCTGAGAAAGCACGCGTGACGTATTTTCTTTCCCCGTGCCATCCCTCCCTGCTTAGCTTCCAGCGCTTTCGTCAGAATGAGAAGAGAGAATGCACTTGCAGCGTGCGAGAATTCTTTCCACTCCGCGCGTACTGGACAGATTCTAAAAATTTTGCGGCGGTGAATTCATGAGGCAATAAGCTTCTTTAGGGAATTCATTCCATGGCTACTTGAATGGCCCCTTTAAATGAAAATATTACCCTCAGATGAATCCGTGTTATTAAGCTTAAAAGCGTGTTGTGATGGCTTATAAGCCGTAAGCATAATAAATTTTAAAATGTTACGTATTTTAAGTGTTATGACTCGCATCCTGCTTAAAGTGAAATCCTGTTACTACTCAAAGTTGTTTCGACTTTCTTTGATTCAAAAAAGAAATGCCATTTGCATAGAGGCCCTATTTCAATTTAAAAAAAAATATTGGGCAGGTTACTTAGGTCATGACAAATATACCCATTTGTCTTTATATGTCATATATACTATTCAAATTCAATTAGAATATATTCGATCAAAATCACTATGCGCTTTGAATTTGCTCCGAACCTAAAATTCACTATTTGCACAAGCCTACTAATAATGTGTTAGCGAACTCAAGAGCCTATAAGTTCATAACTTGTTCTTTTTATTACCAGCCGAGGAAGAGCATATCAGTTCATAATTTATTCTTTTTATTACCAGCCGAAGACAACATGCTGGGTGACCAGTCCTTCCGATATCTGACAGCTGATGAAATGAAGTCTCTCGGTGATGATTCTTTGCCAATTGATGTCACAAGAGATGAACGCATCACCGAATCTATTCACATCACACGAGAACCAGGTTAGTTGAGAGGTTTTAACTGTATGGTTGAAACCTTGCAGTTTGCACGCTGAACATGTAAATTAGTTCTTGTTTGGTCCTCTTCAAGTTGTTTCCAGATCATGTCAAGCCTTCTGTTTTTTCTGTCAGTTTTATTAGGCCACTAAAACACACCAAGTATGGGGGTTACAGTATGATCAAATGAATGAATTATACGTATGTAGTTCAAATTAGTTGTTATAAGAGAATTTGTGTTGGCTCAAAAAAACTCGGATGTTGGAGTAAAGTGTAAACTGGCAAAGCATACATGTTGTTTGATTCATTTGCAGGATGTATTTTAAAGCAATAGCATTAAAGAGCTCGTTTCTCAGAAATTCCGGCGTCAGTGTCCGAACCAGAGTCATTTCGAATCGTGACCGAACCAGAGTCATTTGGGTCCGAGTAGGGATCAAACCCGGGTCGTTTGCGTGGCAAGCGGATGTTTACCACAGGGCTACGCTTCTGCTTGCAAATACCGTGAAAAGAACTTCCTCTGCTTGGAAATGCACTGAAAGAAAGTAGCTTTTATGCTTTTCAAACAGACTCATCCTGTACACATGCTTTACATTCCAACATGAAATATTGCAGTAATAAGGCATAACAAAAGCGCCCATTGCCAGCAGGCATCAGAACATCTAATTATCTCAATGGCTTGATGTTTTAAAGCCGGTCACCCACTACAAGAAGCACACACGCTGTTGGACCTGTTTTCTCAAGGCCACATAGTGGGTGCACAGCAAGCTCGAAAAGCTTTCATCCACTAAGTGTTTCAAGTACGCTCTAGGAACAGGGTATCACTATCGCGTTAAACTCCCAAAGGGGAAGCTCCACGGTCCTCTAATTTTATGATCCATTTTGTAGCATTAGTGTCATTCCTAGAGTTTGAAAAATATTGTTTTTGATAATGAACGAGTTGTTAAAAACAATTGGCTTAATTGACTAAGCTTGAACTGTATAGTTAATTGTTGACAGAGTCAACAAGATAAGAATGGGCACTACTGCTCTTCAATGTTTCAATGTTCATGAAATCTTAATATTCTGTTCAAGTACAGTAACTGCTTTATAGATTACCAGTATCTTGGGTTCAGGCTAAGGGCTCAGGTCATCTGTTCCCTGGGCATTGACACCTCGGAGCGTGTGAGAGTGCTTTCTGTATAGACGGGAATAATTTATAGAGCTGAAACATATAAGTTTTGACTCGCTTAAAATTTTATTTAAAATAGGGGTGGGAAAACACAAATTTTGAATGTGAACAGATTAGTTTCTACTGTTGCATTCATATTTAATTCAGATTTTGATGTTGGAAGTTATCAAATATTTGTTGTTTTATTATATGAGGAATACCGTATACGCGCGTGTAAGGGCCGCACCCGTGTAAGGGCCGCTTCCCGTTTTTAAGAAACACATATAAAAAAAAAAGTTGTGTGTAAGGGCCGCATCTGCACTTTCCTTGACCCATGTGTATTCAAAATGCGCGCGCGTGTGTGAGCTACTAGGCGTTGTCAGTATATGGCGTTAGAGAATGCATTTCTCATCATCACCATATAGTACATCATTAGAATAATTTGTTGGTTTTCTTCATGCTAATATATTCATGAAGTTGGCTAAAAATTTTAAGTTTTTTCAGTAGTGTTCATACACCCGCCAACTAAAGGTTAAAGCGGGATTTTATCTTTAACTTCTGACAGTTCTATACAAACGCGCTATCCATATCGGCATTAGCATCACCAACTTTGGTATTTGTGCGTTGTTCGGTCATTGTGCTGTTCAGCCTGCCATGTGCTCGAGTTTTGCGCACCGTTGAATGACTCTGGGACTTTAGCTAGTTTTCTGCGGGACGTTTACGTTTTGGCACGATGGGCAAGCAGCTGAATAGCTATACAGCTGGCTATAAGTTGAAGGTGATCGAGTTTGCTCTCGAGCACAGGAAACGGGCCGCCGGCAGAAGATTCGACGTTGACGAGAAGTGTGTTTGACGTTGGTGCGCCCAGAAGAAAGCCTTGCAGAACACCAACATCAAAAAGCGCGCTTTCCGAGGAAAACAGTGCAAGTATCCTGATTTGGAAGAGGAGTTGCTCTGCTATGTGACTGAGGTGTGGAACGATGGTTTTGCGCTCACTACAGACATGCTGCGCATGAAGGCACTAGCCTTGGCACGTGGGAAAAATATACCGGCCGGGGATTTCAAGGCTAGCGCTGGCTGGGTGCGAAGGTTTCTGAAAAGGAAGGGACTCTCCTTTCGGCGAAGGACCACGCTGTGCCAGCGGCTGCCAGAAGACTATACCGACAAGGTGCTTAGTTTTCACAAGCATATCATCGGCCTGCGCCATCAGCACAGTTATTTGTTGTCGCAAATAGCGAACGCTGATCAAACTCCTGTGTGGTTTGACTCTCCCGAGAACTACACAGTCGAAGTAAAAGGCAAGAAGAGTGTCGCCGTGCGGACCACCGGCGCTGAGCGCCAACTCTGCACCGTGATGCTTTGTGTGACCACGGACGGGCGCAAGCTACCCCCGTACGTTGTTTTGAAAAGGAAAAGAATTTCCAACGAAGTTTTCCCCAAGGGCATCATAGTTAGAGCCCAAGAGAAGGGATGGATGAACGATGATTTGGTGCTAGACTGGGTGAAAAGTGTTTGGCAGAACAGACCGGGAGCTTTGTTGGCCAATCATTCACTTTTAGTATTGGATAGTTTCCGCGGCCACCTTACCGATAAGGTGAAGGAGCAGCTGCGCCGTGTCGGCATAGACATGGCCGTGATTCCAGGCGGCCTCACAGGAATGTTGCAACCATTGGATGTGAGCGTGAATCGACCATTCAAAGTTGAATTCCGAAGACTCTACACAAAATGGATGGCAACCTGCAACCATGAGCAGACGCCGACCGGATGGCTGAAGAGGGCACCGCTTGCTACTGTTCTCGGTTGGGTATTGTCGGCGTGGAGCTCGGTGTCGACGGACATTGTGTCCCGAAGTTTTAAGGTCACTGGGATATCCAACAGCCTGGATGGCACCGAAGATGACTGTTTGTGGAATGATGGTGCTCTGCAACACACCATCTCGGACTCCGAGTTAACGACGATTGAGCGCACACGCGGCATACTGCAATAAACGCTCTTCGTTCACTAACTGGTACGTTGTTTTTAGTTCTCAAAAAAAAAAGTTCCGTGTATGGGCTGCACCCTGAAAATTAGCCCTCACTTCCTGAAAAAAAAGTGCGGCCCTTACACGCGTTTATACGGTAGTAGCACTTAGTGTAGTCCACTGGAGACACAGTGATGACTGCGAGGACAGTTCTGAATGATTGATTATTTAGTAAGACAGCTACAGTGTTACATAAGGGAAGAACTTAAATAAACATGCTAGGCACGTAACTTCCACTCTATAATTTCTGTTCATTAAGTAAAAATGACTTGCTTTTAGGTAAGTAGCTCATACAGTTTAAGTTTCATTAACTAAGTGATGATCATGAATGAATTGTTTCATTAAATTGGGAAGTTTTTAAAACTAAGAAAGGGATTTCTCAGTCCTGTGACGTAAATTCTTACGTTGTGCCATACAAAAACTACTGTGGCATGGTATTTTCTCCTGACTCACACCTGCGCATGTGCAAAGTCAGCGAGGGCAGTCAGTGGTTTGGTCTGGACATGGTGTCTTTCACGTCGTCCTGACACAAGATGCTTGATGTCAGGTTGATGCTAGCCAAATAAATGGTGAAGTGAAGCTACAAAGGCAGCAGATATGCAAAGGCACGAAAATAAGGGCAGTGGCTGTGTGAGCATGCCGACCAAAAAAGTTGCAAATGTACAATCACTGCTACCTGTCGAAAGAAAAAGGAAGCACCGCCGCTCCTAGTGCCATGCAATGTGTAGGGGTGCTGTATGCACGGGTGCACTATGCAACTTTGTCAAAATAAAGCTAGGGCTGGATAGCGTTATAGTGCACAAACAAGCGGGAACTGGCATGTGTCAAAATTACAAAACATCACAATTTTTTCTTTATTTCTTTGTTTCAGCAAAACCTTTGTTATATTAGGTATAATGACCAAGTTAGTTCTGTTCATTTGGGTTGATGACAACATTGACCCCTGTGTGTGCCGGAGAATGAAAATTTCTTTGTAGTAGTATTGGGAACTTTGTAAAATTGGGTTATGTTTAATTGGGTTTCAACTGTATATGCACTTGTATGTACAAATTGGTTATTTTTCTTGCCTCAAAATATCTTTATGCTGTGAAAGCAGTTTGTGGTGCTTTAGTGTCACATTTCTCTGCATCATTAAATGCAACTCTGCATACGCCTGGTAACATATTTTGCTAATGTCATTGCCATGTTGGCTGGAATAAATCAAGGCAGTTGTTTTTCATTGACAATGTAGTCAGTAATTTGAGTATTTTAATTTTAAATTGTATTATACAAACATGTATCAATTCATATAAGCCTGATTTCTTATGAGAACTGCTGTGGAAGTTGAGTTCTCAAGTCTGATGTTCTCAGATGTTTATGTTAGAATTTATTTATAAATTTCACTATGCGGACACCCCTAGTTTTAACCAAACTGTAAGCTGGAAGGTAGGTATTTTGTTGAGGCATTTCATTGCATACAAAGAAGCCTGCAAAAATCAGGGAAGCGGAAGTGTGCATGTGTTGAGTTTTCTTTTTTATGTGAGGACAGCTACCGAAAATGGCTCTTTGGTTGCTGCAGGGCATTCGGCACCTCTGACACAAGAGGAAGAGCGCCTGTCGCCAACACAGGCCCATACTACAGAAGCTGTTTTTGTTGGCAACTATGCGCCAGACAACGTGGACCTATCCCGGACACCTATTCATGCCGGGTATGGGCACACCTGTGTGCAGTGGGCGAAGTTTTATAATTCCTGGTTTGAATAACAAGTGGCATAGTTTCTACTCGTAACTTTACATGCTTCACATGCTTATCAGTGCAGGGAAATGGAAAATTATTATGCTTGTGGCACAGCAGCCAGTTTCTTGTCAACTAAACATGGAGTTCTAGGCCATATATTCTCATGTAATGGTTTCAGTTTTTTTAATATATTTTGGTCCGAAATTCTCATTTGCAGCCACTAAGAATAAAAAGTACATACATAAAGTCAAACTCCGCTACAACGAATGCCGCTTCAAGGAAATTTCCGCTACCACGTAAAATTCAGGATTCCCCGTCGGCAGTCCATAGGAGTCAATGCAGAAATATTGTCGCCACAACGAACACTTTTTCTTCGATCGTCCTGCTTCAACAAAATTTTACGATGCAATTCCAGGCTCAGATACCTATAGCTATGCAGTAAACCCAATCTTTAACATTTTGATGCATTTTCAGAGCCTGAAAATGCATCGACGAAGTCTGAAACGCGCGTTGGCAACACCAGAAACCGCTGCTGTTCAGCAAGCATGGGCGCCGCCATTGCTCAATAGCGATGGCAATGAAAATGCCCTGCTTTTGTGCCGCAGACTATCCGAAGCTGAAGCTCAGTCACTCAGTTCATGGCTTTCTTCTCGTAGCTGCTGGGTGCAACCGCGGCACGATGCCTTTTCTGATTCCGATGCTTATCATTATGTTCACGCTTGGCCAGTGTGGTAACTAATCAGAGCGGCTGTTCGTCCGCATTATCAAGAAAATCGGCTAGCCACGAGTGATGAATAATAAGAATGGCATAGAATAACGCAAAAGTCGCCGCTCCGCGATACCCTGCCTCCATCTCGGCGTTGTTGGATACTTGTGACGGCGGACAGTTCCTGTTGTTAACGTGTTTATGCAACTGTTTGGTTCGTTCACGAAAGCGGTTTTAGGCATTGTTTCAGCGTGCTTTTCACCATGGCCTCGCTATGCATAGGTGAGAATAACGTCTTGACGCTGCTGGGAACGAATAGGAAGCAGCGGACATTTTTTGAGTTTGGAGGATAATCGTTCCTTTGCTCACATCAGCTATACTTTTTTCGATCTCACTACAATGAAATTTTCGCTTCAACGAAATTTTTTTCGTGTCTCGTCAGTTTCGTTGTAGTGGGTTTCGACTGTATATTTGTTGACATATATTACTCTTCACTTAAAATAATTATAACAGGGCAGATGGAGATAATATAAATATTTGGCAGATGAGATCAAAAATAAGAGACAGAAATTTTTTTCTTGACAGATCAGTGTGTCATTTAGCAATATTTGACTTACTTTTAACCACCTCTGAATCTCACATACACCCAGTTTATTTGGTTCATAGTGTGTTGTAAAGATCGTGCCCCGAAACTTAATATTACTTCAAACTTAATTTGATGACAAAGTGACATTTAAGTAAGACAAGTGCTTCTGTAGATCCCTCCTACTGAGAAAGGCTCCTAAGAATACAGTGGTATGGTATGGTATGGTACCCTTGGGGACCATAGCTTTCAAGCTGTAGGAAATGGTGACACGAATGGCTGCTTCTGTCTACTTAATCAAACATTGTTTTGCCTTATGCTGTTACATCAAGAGGTGTTTCCACCAGTGATGTTTCATTAAATTTTTATGGTTCCTGGGCTTTTTGACATGTTCAAAAATTTTTATCAAGATATCTTAATTCAGATTTGCTATAAGAAGTGTATGCTACACATATTTAGTGGCACATATTAAAAAAAACTATTATGTAAGAATCGTGACAGAATCAGGGCATCAATGAAGCATATATAATCATGCTGGAAGAAATCTACAGTGTATCCAGAGCCACCATAGTCCTCCATAAAGAAAGAGATAGAATTCCTATAAAGAAGGGTGTAAGGCAAGGAGGCACAATCTCTCTAATGCTATTCACGGCATGTTTACTGGAGGTTTTCAGGACCCTAGATTGGGAAGAGTTAGGGATAAGAGTTGATGGAGGGTATCTTAGTAATCTGCTATTTGCTAATGACATTACATTGATGAGTAACTCAGGTGACAAATTACACCCAATGATTACTGAATTGAACACCGAAAGCAGAAGGGTAGGTCTGAAAATTACCAATATGTATAAAACTAAAGTGGTGTGCAATAGTCTCTGCAGAGAACAGTGCTTTGCAACAGGTGGCAAGACACTGGAAGTTGTGAGCGAATATGTCTACTTGGGAACAGGTAGTAACTGTGGAGCTGAATCATGAGAGTGAATTGAGTGGAAGAATAAGGATAGGACGGAGCACAATCCGCGAGCATTGTGAAATCATGAATTGTAGTCTATTACTATCCCTTAAGAGGAAAGTATGTAACAGCTGCATCTCACCAGTACTTACTTATGAAGCAGAAACTTTGAGGATTACAAAGAGGGTTCAACTTAAGTTGAGGACGACGCAGTGAGTGATAGAAAGGACAATGATAGGTGTAAGCTTGAGAGACAGGAAGTAAGCAGAGAGGGTCAGGGAACAAACGAAGGTTAAGGATGTCATAGTTGAAATAAAGAAGAAGAAGTGGACATGGGCTGGACACGTATCACGTAGGCAGGATAACCTCTGGCCACAAAATTACGTGGGCAGATGAGATTAAAAAGTTTGCTGGCATATCGTGGGAGCCGAACGCACAAGACTGGGTCGATTGGCAGAACATGGGAGAGGCCTTTATCCTGCAGTGGGCGTAGTTAGGCTACTGCTGATGATGATAATGACACAGAAATAGTTTAGTAATAATTCGCAGTATATATATATATATATATATATATATATATATATATATATATATATATATATATATACATATATATATATATATATAGTGTAGCAAAAGGTTTCTCGGTTGGGGCATATCCACCCACTGCTCTGTCTGTCGTGCCCATTCTTTTGAGCACTCTAGCTATTCAAGTGGTCAGCTTGGTCAAAATTTTATTATTTTCTTCTGCTAGTTTGAGGTAGAAGAAAATCTATAGTTGAGAAAATTGTACTTTTCTAGTGTGCTATTGTCAAAAGCCACGCATTGGAGTTTACGCACTGTAATTTTTTTACTCTCGTAAATTGGACAGATTGGAGCTTGAGAGAGCACTGAATTTCACTACAAAATCTAAAGGCAAAATGAGCAAACAAAAAGATGAAACACTGGCTTCATAATTTCTTACTGCTGCCATGTGTATGCAAGAAATGCTTCTATTGGTGGACACAGATTTGAATTGATTGTACATTTTCTCAGATGTTTTCACTGAGATGAGGCAGACATTTTTATCTTGAAAGCATTTGACGATTGCTGTCTGCCGTGTTGGAGGCTAGCGTTTACATTTCAAGGGCCAAATTGTTCAATAGTTGAAGCTAGGGTAGGCGTCATGAAAAAAATAAGGAATTCTATCAGGGGGGACCTACTTATGCTTGGTTTTTCTGATGCTACAGGTCACTGGGTTACTATTAGTGTAAGGCCTGAAAGTGTGATAGCCTTGCTCTCTCATAGGTTACTTATTGGCACTGAAAAATACTCTGTGCTCTTCCGTATTGCTAAGCCACACTGGAGAAGTAGCTGAGGTGGCTTTGGGTTGAAACATTGGCAGCTTGTTGCATTGATGGGTCCATTCAGTTCGGGCTTGAAGCCTTCATTTGCTCAAGGGGTGGTGTACAAGGGGTGCAAGTTGTGTGTACAACATACACAGCGGATCAGGCGACCTAGCTCTCTGAGCTGCTCATGACTTTGAAGCCTTTACTTCACTTGAAGCAAGTGCACAGTCGAACACAAGCCTGCCAGTACAAGACACTGTCTCGCTTTTCTTAAGCTTTATTTAATGTAAAAAGAAAAAAATCATTGTCTGAAAGGGAACAGGTGCAAGCTAAATTGTTTTCTATGATCAGCTACATCTTTCCTGTTCTAGCGTAGTTGAAGAAATTACTATTCTGAAAAAAAAATGCAGTAATTTTATTAGTATATTATTGATTAGAGACAAAAAATTTCATGAGGTTCATGAGGAGCTTACAAACAATATCATAGGTTGGGCTTCTATTTTTTTTAAAGCTTGCTAACTTTAGCTGCAGCACTATGTGCATGTGTATAAGTTGTTTAGTGCAGCATATATAAAAGTGCTTGAAGCTTTACATTTTTTCTTAGTCTGGCTGGTCATTGCCTAAGGCATCTCATTCTTTTTCAATGTGTGTCTTCCCTGTTTGTTGCTTCTCTGTTGTCTTTGCTGCTCAATTGTGATTTACCTTTTCATGTGCTTCTAAATTAGCTTGCAGCTCGGAAGTGTTTTAACACACTTAATATGCAATGATTACTTTGTGTTAGGACTATTAGCGTGAACATATTGCTTGTTTTCAGCTTGCAGCTAATAGCTTGTTTTTAGATGAAGCATTCTCACTATTCTGTGCTGTAGCATTCAGGAGAAGGAATATGGGAGATGGAAGTGTTTGTGGAATGAAGAAATTTTCTTATGTCTAATCTCCTAATTTTATATTTACATTGTTTTAAGTGGCCTTATAGCACTACTGTTGTGCAAGTGCTTTGAGACCTAAGTTTAAGTTGTAGGTTTTAAGGGGGGACACGGGTTTTAAAAGCCGAAAAATCGTCAAAAAGTTGATTTTTTGGAAATGGCAGTTTTGCTATTTCCATCCAATATTCTACCATTTCGCCAAGTTTTATGCAGTTTGAAACGATATCTTAGCCGTAATATCAATTTTAGCACCAGTGCCAGCTAAATATGAGCCAAGAATTTGGTAAATAAAGCGCCTTTTCCGTGACACGCGACGGCCGTCATATTTGTCCGACAGCCGCGAATCATATATCGTTTGAAAGCGCAGCCTCTCGTCTTGATTTTCGCGCCATTTTCGGCTCCGAGCGCGCGTTGGCTGTGAAGATATCCCGATTCAAAAAGAAGTCCCAACACGCGCAGTAATTGGCCAGTTACGGCAC